GCCGGAGCTTAGGGAATATCATAGACAGGCACGAGGGCAAATGGATCGGGATGCACTACGACTCGCTCCTGGCCCCGATCCAGATACCCTTCCCTGCCCTCCTGACTGCTTTCCTAGGTTATTACCGGATGGTCCCGGCCCAAATTTGCCCGAACACGCACAGGATTTTAGCGTGTTTCCCGCAAATATGCGCCCGGCACGAGGTAGCGTGCACGATGGAAGTTTTCAACTTCATCTACCAGGTAAAGACCCTGCCGGAGTAGCCACTACAGGAAACAAGTAGTGCCGGTCGAAACAAAGGCTCTCCAGGATGCCGCCACCAAAATCTCGAGCGAAGTTTACGAGTACAAGATTTTCCGCTCGAAGGAAAGCTACGACGAAGCCCGACTGCCATCCCCAAGATATGACTTGGAGGAAAAGTATGTACCTATCCCGGGCGTGACGATAGCGATGGCGGCTACTCGAGCTGAGGCAGAGAACGAAGGTCTAACACTAACCGATCGTCCCCGACCCTAACTCCCCGGTCACTCTTCGACCTTATCCTAACCAATTTCCTTTTGTTTGCAGAAATGGCAGGCTTCGAAGAAGACGAGGCACCCCGAGCCCCCAAACCCAAGATCGTGCTTGGGAAGAAGAAGATTAAAGGCAAGCCGGCCGGGGATAAACAAATCCCGACTGCCAAGTCGGTCCGGGCTTCAACGACTGTCACCACGGCCGAGGGCTACGTGGTCGATGCCTCTGACGTCCTCGTCAACCGAGTAACTGCCCCCAAAGGCAAAGGCAAAGCGTCCGAGAAAGGGACAGAAGAAAGCGGCGCGCTAAAGCGCCGAAGGGAGCAACGAAGCCCAAGCCCCCCGGTCGGGGCTATCCAGGGTGATGCCTCCATCCTCACGCGGATCGACAATGCTGCGCCGATCAAGGAGGATCTGAGCAAACTCTCCCCGACGCAGGTGGCCGAACGGATTGGCCATGACCTGGCCGAGGTAAGAACATTCCGTCTTCTTACTTTGCAGATTTCCCGAGCGACCCAGCTTCTTCAACGCCGAGCGCTGCTGGTTAACGAAGCTGACGCTCTGAAGAAGGTCGCCGAGCAGCGACAAAAGGAAAACACCGACCTCCAGACCGAGTTGAAGAGGGTCAAGGAGGAACGGGATACGGCCGAGAAAGCGGCCCGAGCTGCAAAGGGAGCTCAGGAAGTGGCCGAGAAGGCGGCCAAGGAGGCTCTCGGGGAGACGAAGACGCTGAAAGCCCGACTGGCCAACCTTGGGCAGTTGGCGGAATTCCTCTTTCGAGATGATGCATCCGGGACGTCATTCCTCCGGGAGGTCCGGAAGACCAAGGTCGGGGAGGCCTTGATTTGGGCGTTCGGTCGCTGGGGATTCAAATTCGGCCAGCGAAAAATGCGTGAGAAAATCGAGGCCTATATGCGAGAGGCCCTTGAGGGCGAGGATCTCGAGCTGGTCCTGACGACCCTTCCGGACGAGATTGCCGACCCCGGCCCGCCGCCGTTCAACCCCAAAGGGGATGTGGCTGAGCCGAGCGATGCCGCCGGGAAGAAGTAGTTTGGTCGTGTAGATTCCGACCGTTGTAGACTACTTCTTGTTTTTTTGTTTTTAAGTAAACTTGATCGGGAGCCCGGTCCCGAGCTGTATCGGGCAACCTTTAAACTTAATGAAGTTCTTCTTTTTTTGTTTATCTTGTCTCGTTCGTGATTATTATGCTTCATTTTTGTTTGCGTGTATGTCGATCGTCTAACGCCCGACCCCGCGGCCTTATGGCCTGATCGTGCACATTTCGACCGTAATGGCCCACTGGCCCGCCGAGACATCGACATTTCGTGGCCTGCCTGCTCGGGATTCTCCCGACCTTTTGGCCTTGTCGAGAATTTGAAAAAGTTTGGCCTCTTGTTGAGAATTTGAAAAAGTTTAGCCTCTTTGCTCGGGGTGTTCCCGATCATTTGGCCTCTTGTTGAGAATTTGAAAAAGTTTGGCCTCTTTGCTCGGGGTGTTCCCGATCATTAGGCCTTGAACACTTCCTTCATCCAAGCTCCCACACTATTGTGCGCTCGAGGCACGAGTGGGTGCAATAGTTGAAAGAAGTTGGACGGATCGGGAACATTTGCTGTAGCTCTGGCTTTCCTAATCGGTGGCGTGACCCGAGTGTCCGCCGAAGATGAGCACATTAGCCGGTCGATCAATTCACCCGACTGAGTTATAGACGGCTATTAGAGCCAATTCGAGAGATGGCTATTAGAGCCAATTAGGTTGAGGGCTATTTGAGCCATTTGGTTGCACACCCCTATCGGTCGGAACCGAGGGAGAAGAGTTGGGTTGGGCGAAAAGCCCATCTTCAATTGCTGATGTTGAGTCTCGATCAGTCGGTGGACGAGAGAGAAAACGATTATTAGAGAAAAAATCGATCGGGCCGCCGTGTGCAAACGGTCAAGCAATCACCGATCGTATGTACATTAGATTTTTCCGTTCGCAGACGGTTTAAGTATTTACAACAAATAATTTACAAACATTTAGACGACGAATAGAGCCCACTCGCAGGTTGAGCCCCCACTTCGTCTAAAATTACAAAAAATAGGCTAATGCCTAAACGCAACGAGGTGCTTGGAATTCCAAGTCCCCTCGATCACCCGACCGGTCGTCGTCTCCAGTCGGTACGTTCCCGGTCGTACTACAGCGCTGACGACGTACGACCCTTCCCAATTTTTAGCTAGCTTCCCGCCTTCTAAAGGTTGACTGGCTTCCCGTCGGCGCAGGACGTAATCTCCGACCTGAAAGTACCGAGGGTTGATCCGGACATCCTTTGAACTCTTGACTCTCTTCTGATACTCGGCCATACGTCGAGCGGCTAGCTCTCTTTTTTCCTCGACCCCGTCGAGATCCACGACCATCGAGTGTTCATTCTCTTCTGCATTGTAAGTTCGTTCTCGGGCAGTCGGGATCCATGCCTCGATCGGGAGTCGGGCTTCAGCTCCATAGACAAGGGCAAACGGCGTCTCCAAAGTCGCTTCTCTCGGGGTCGTCCGATAAGTCCACAAAACATATGGCAACTCATCGGCCCAACTACGACCAGCCGAATGTAGCTTATGTCCGTTACGGGAGGGGCTATATGTGCACCATTTTGATAATTGAGGGGCAACATTTACACCACTTATAATTCAGGGGTGACATTGATAATTGACATATTATAGAGGGGCATTTTTTACAATTTCCCCAAAATTAACTTACAACTTTCTTAATTTGGAAGTTTTCATGCATTGATAAAAATCCTTGAGTGATTTGTAAACTTGTTCAATTGGAGCCAGTACGGTGTCAACACTGTCAATTTTTTGGACAATGGTCATACCGTTTAGAGTTTAGGTGTAGTTGTATTTCTGATCAACAACTTTGTAGTTAGGTTGCACAGGTCTAACAATGATGTAAGAACAATTTTTTCTGATAAAAAAAATAATAGTACAATATTTGTAAAGTAATGTACAATTGTACCATTATAGAAATATAACCAAAAAATATTAATAGCATAATGACCTAAATCATTCTCGATAATGCAAAAAATATAATTGAAATATTGAGTCTTGTTCTAAATAATCAAAAGAAAATTAATTAAACGGAAAAAAAAAAAACTTAACATAATTTTTTTTTTAAATGCAAGAAAATGATTTTCAAGGTTACTTATTTGTAATCTTTGATGCTCAACTTTGAATGATATGTATTTAGTCGGGCTAAATAATTCGAAAAAAAAAACCTTTTTAATTCTTTAAACATTTGATATGTTTCTAAATTCTTCCCAATATGTCAAATAAAAAGCATGTGCCTTGTTACATGGAAAAACTTGAGAAATTGCATTAAACATAACAAAACACTAATCCGTCATGATTGTTTGTGGGCACTTAACATCCATAGCTTGCAAAAATGTTCTAAACAACAAAACAAATAATTCTATCATCTCATTTAGTAAAAAATCACACCCAAACATTACATTCATACAATGGTGATTCATACCTACAAAAAGGGTCACAGATCATATCATACTTATTAGTACGATGCATTGTGTCATGTACAAGTAAATCCTCGAACAATCCAAAATCCCCCTTAATTCTTGCATCCCTCCAAAAAAACTACAAAGTCTTGCATCACCATCCACTTCATTTTTTTTTAAAGTCAATTTCATTCAATTGCCTTCACTTAAAGATCTCAATTAGTGAATTAGAATCTGTGTGGGCTAAACTCTTCACTGAATATGTAAACAGGCTATTATATGCATCCATAGGTGTAAAGCCAACAAAATGTGAGCCTCCGGATTGGTTTTTCAAAAAGCGAGAGACATCCGGCAATGCAACTCCACTCCTTTTCAAGTCTTTTAAATAAGACAACTGGTTACCACTAGGGCTGCTAACGAGCCGAGCCGAGCCGAGCTCGAGCTTTGGGTAGCTCGAGCTCGAGCTCGAGCTCGGTTTGTTAGAGGGGAGCTCGAGCTCGTTCGAGCTCGGAAATGGGGCTCGAGCTCGAGCTCGTCACTTTGTTGAGCAGCTCGAGCTCGGCTCGAGTTGCTCGTTTGTTCGAGCTCGAGCTCGAGCTGCTCGACTTGGACTCGAGTTCGCGAATTTGTGCTCAAATTCGAGCACAATTTGACCTATTTAATACATGCTGAATCAGAACTCAAAAAAAAAAAAAAAAAAAAAAAAATCAAAGTCCAAAACAAAGCTCTCCACACAAGTTTACAGCTTCAAATCTAAAGTAGAAGTCTACAACAACATTACAAAATACAAATAGATTAAACAACTTCACATCAATTCAATACAATTTACGAACTTAACATCAACTTCACACTCGCCATGCTTTTCAATCTTCACTCTTTCCAGCAACAACGCCCCGTCAAAAAAGATTAGGAACAATCATTCTAACATAACCTGCAAATATTTAGATCTTAAACATACTAACTAAATATATAAAACTGGAAATGATCAATATATAGTGTGTAACTTACTTTCATGAGTTGGATACAGGAAGATAAATTTCTTGATACGATTTCTCTTTCTGAAAAAAAAGAAGATAAATTAACATGTAATTAAACGAATATTTTTAAAAGACAATACACCATTTAACATAAAAGTTATAAATTAAAAATTAACTTACTTTGTTTTTGGTAACTCCGTGTATATGTCGAAGCCAATCACCCCCACAAAGTAAAGCTTGTACTGTTTCCGGCAGCAATGATGCACGATAAGAATCAATTACTCGTGTCCCCGCACTAAACGTTGCTTCTGAAGCCACCGTGCTAACAGGTATAGCTAAGATATCCGCTGCCATTCTTGACAATATTGGATAGTGCATTCTATTCATCTTCCACCAATCCAAACAAGAAAAGTCTGCAACAATCTCACTTTTCTTAAGACGGCCTTTTTCAAGATAGTCTGCTAACTCTGATTTCTTAGGCTCTGAAGTTTCAACTTGAGCACAATAATCATCAAAATCATCCCAATCATATGTAGAACTTTGACGGCTTACTTGGCTCCCAAAAGTTGAAGAAGAACCTAAATTTTCAGAAATGTCTTTGTTCATTGCTTCAACAACATACTCTTCATAAAGAGTATTTATGATCTCTTTCACTTTTGAAATGTTTTCCTTAGCTTCGTTATCATAATACAGTTTAGGAAAACAAAACTCAACAGCAAGCATCTTCTTTGTTGGATCAAAAACAGCACCTATAGCCATCAACAAATTACACTCACCCCAATATTTATCAAACTTCATTTTCATTTTCCCAACCAAATCCTTAATAAAGGAATCCTCATCATTTGCATGACTATCCAAGGCTGCTTTGATTTTTTGAACTTCTTGAAGAAATAAATTTGAAGTAGGGTACTCACAACCTGAAACAAATTTGAATTCAGATACTCACAACTTGAACAATCTAAAACAAATGCCTACTTACTACTCAACTTACTACTCTACTATTTTTCTTTACCATTATCAACAATCAATTGTACCTAATTAATGAATAATTGAGAGAGAAAGGAGTTAACAGAAGCAAATTTCATGCAAGTGGCAGTTAAAAAAGATTAAGTAACAAAATTTACAGTTTTTTGCAAAACATAGGGCCACATTGATCATTCTGTCAACTTCAAATCATATTATTAGCTTGCTTCATTTTGTAAATTTCATGAATTTAATTAACATTACAAAATACAAGCAGAAGGTTAAATAGGATATTCACAAGTCACAATCTGAATACAATTTGAAGAAACAAGTTAAAAGAAACAAACCTGAAATAATGTGAGTAGCTGTCCAGAAAGCCTCTAAAATAGAGCAAACCTTGGTAACTTTATCCCATTCATCTTCTAACGGACAACTGTCAAAAAATGGATCACGATCACTTAACATCTTGAAGGCTTCTTTAAACTTGAGTGCACAACTTAGCATCTCAAAAGTCGAGTTCCATCTTGTTTTACAATCACGGATCAATTTTCTATCTTTCAACTGTAATTGTTGCACACAATCTGCAAACTGTATACGTCTTGCCTCCGATCGATTCACATATTCGACACTATCTCTAACATCCCTAATGACATGTCGAATCTCTTCTAATCCATCTTGAACACACAAGTTTAAAATGTGTGCACAACATCGAACATGAAATAAACGACCTCCACATACCAAACTTCTTGATCTTTGAAGTGTATCCTTCATGTACCGAATTGCAGCATCATTACTAGTAGCATTATCAACCGTAATTGTAAAAACCTTCTTTTCAATACCCCAATCTTTCATGCACCTAAATATAGCATCACATATCTGAAGACATCCCCTCAGTGGTGGAATATTGATGAAGCTTAAAACTCTCTTCTGCAATTTCCAACTAGAATCAATCCAGTGGTCAGTCACAACCATGTACTCAATCTTCTGGTTTTTTGATTTCCAACAATCCGTTGTCAAACTTACTTTGCTAACGGATTCAAGATTGTACTTCAACTTTTTCTTTTCAAGCTCATAAACTTTCAAACAATCTGATTTGTTTGTGCTTCTACTAATCTTTCTCCACTCTGGCATTCCTCGTTTCATCATGATGTTAAATCCGACTTCCTCCAAAATGTTAAATGGATGTTCATGCATCATGATCCAATGAGCCGCAGACTCTCTCATTGCTTCCATGTCAAACTTCCCATGATGTAATGGCGGAAGGGAAGATGAAACTCCATCACTAGGCAAAAAATTCAACTTAGTTTGTTGATCAACCACCTACAAAATCAATACAATTAGTCAATTACTATAAATTTATTTCCATCTAGCTAACATTTAAGCTAAGGAAAATTAAATAGTTACCCATAAGTTTGCCTTTCTCTTAACACATTTCTCTTGATGCCTCTTGTAGCTAGTTGTTGTTCCAGTTTTAGTTAATGCAAAGTGATGATGACAATGATTGCACTTTACCTTCTTTATTCCATCTACATTGATCACTTCAAAATCAACCCACACACTTGAAGTTTTTTTCCTCTTGTTTGTTTGAAAATCTGATTGTTGTTCTACATCTTCATTTTGGAGTGTATTATGATCACCTAAATCTAATTCTATTCCTTCAGTTTGTTGCACTTCATTACTTTCACCAACCATACTGCTTGAAGTAGGTAGATTTTGCGTGATGGATGTATTCTCGGTAGACATAACTAATGGAAAACAATAATAAAATCAATATGATTTTGAAGAGAAGTTCTTGATTACATTTTCGTAGTTCTGTCCAACTATTTAGCTTTAAAATTTTTACATACGTAAAAGAGGTCCAAATAGGCAAAAACAGTAAAAACAGTACCAATAAGCAGTAGAAATCTGAATAAGCAAAAAGGCAAAACAACAGTAAAAAAATTTATATAGATAAAATTTTTATATAGCTTCATTACATTCTAACTTCTAAGGCATACCACATTGAGGAAATAACAATAACTAACTTTAGAAAAAAAATAAGCAGTAGAAATATGAATAAGCAATAAAAATAGCAGTAGAAATCTGGAGCATTTTGATTTGATGAAGGGGGTCTGGGTTTTATAATATCAAGCAATACAAAATTAAGTTACAACTAGCTTTCAAAGAAGATATAGTGTAGAATCTGAATCTGCTTGTCAGAAAACAAAATAATCCACATTGACAACAACTGATCCTCTAACAAGCAAAACCAAACATGTTTTGTAATAAAATTTGGGAAACTCTTAGAAGAATAAAAACCACTGCTAAAACTGAGGAAATAAAAATAGCAAAAAAAATTATAGAACCATAGCAAAAAATCAGTAATTTTCTACTTTCTAAGCTAAAAATAGAAAAGAAAAATTCTAATCCCTAATTAAGAGTGTCTAAGAAGAAAATAACAACAAAATTATAGAAACATACTAAGCTTAAAACACATAGATATCATATTTAAAAAAAAATTAATTACCTTGGCAGAGTGCCGGACCGTTGGCGGCGGCGGACTGGCGCTTGGCTGCTGCGTCGCCGGCGGTGGCTGTGAGAGGGACCGGAGGCAGCGAGTCCAGAGAGGCAGCGGTCGGCGGTGGCTGCGAGAGGGACCGGAGGCAGCGAGTCCGGAGAAGCAGCAGTGTACTTGGGTCTGGCTGCAACTTCGCCGGCGGTGGCTGCGAGAGGTCGCCGGCGGTGGCTGCGAGAGGGAGCCGGCGGTGGCTGCGGGAGGGAGCCGGCGAGTAGAGAAGCGAGAGAGTCTCAGATAATAGAGGGTGCCGGCTAGTAGAGGGAGTCTCAGATAGTAAATTAGGCTTTAGGGTTTGGCCGTTTGAAAAGAATAAGAGTTTAAGACTTTAAGTATATATATTAATATATTATATTATATTATATATATATATAAGACTTTAAGTATATATATTAATATATTATATTATATTATATATATAATATTATATATTTAATTATGGCTCGCGAGCCAGCTCGACGAGCCGCGAGCATATAATATATGAGCTCGAGCTCGGCTCGTTTCCCTAACGAGCCGGCTCGTGCTCGAATTGACCGGGCGCGAACCGAGCTTTGACCAAGCGGCTCGCGAACCGCTCGTGAGCCGCTCGGCTCATTTTCAGCCCTAGTTACCACCGACGTTTCGGTGTGACCGAAGGAGATAACTTCTAGAAGGTGAACACACCACATGATTGTGTTCCTTTAAATGTTTTGTCACAGCTCACTTCCTATTATACGTCACATCAAATTGGCAAAACGCAGTATACCCTGTTCGTGTGTCTACCTTGAATACAATCAAGAAGATTTATCTAATTTAGATTTGAAACTAACTTTTGCACATTGAAACTTTTCATTTTCACACTCCGACTACCTGTAACATAATACTACTTGCCCTTCCTAGCACTAAATCTCAAACTAAAAGCATAATCGTTATATAAATCATATGCTTCTTCAATTGAACTAACTAAAATCCCCAACAACTTCTGATTAATTGTAAATTTTAAAAGAGTTAATAACTGAAATGGTCCCTTGACTATGTTGTAATTACCAATTTAGTCCTCGACTACTATTCTTACCCGATTGAGTCCTCAATTATGCACTCTTTACCCAACCTAATCGTCCATTGATTTATCTGTTTGTTGACTGTTAAAATTGAGGGTAAAAATGTAACTCTATAAGCTCTCTTCCTCCTTCCCCATTTAGCAGCCCAAACCTCCGCAAATGAAACTTGCGACGTTTCATATTCTTCTCCAATGCAGATCACTCCCTCCATACCTTTTAATTTTCCGATGGAATCCTTGGATTGCGGAGTCGACATGTCAATTGTCGACACTAACTCTTATTCCAATTCCAATTCCAATCTTATGTTACAGTCGCCGGTTAGTAATTACTGAGAACCGCCATTATCTCTGATGGGAGAATGCATTAATAATAATGTTAATGGAGAAAGCTGCAACTCCTATAATAACCATGACCATGAATTGGATCACCGATAGGGGTCGCGCCGACGGCTAAATCCCTAGCTAATAATAATACGTCTGCCACTGCCAGTGGCGGTGGCAGTAGTTCATTGAACAACGGGTACTCGTGGAGGAAATACGGGTAGAAGCACGTGAAAGTGAGCGAGTATCCGAGAAGCTATTACAAGTGTACACATCCAAAATGCACCATGAAAAAGAAGGTGGAGCGTTCGCCAGACGGGCAGATCACGGAGATCATGTATAAGGGCGCGCATAATCACTCGAAAGCTCAGGCGACGAGTCTCCGGCGATCGCCGTCGTCGTTAGGAGCGGAAAGCTGTTCGTCGAAGATGATGAGCCAATGGTGCGAATCTTCTTGTTTCAGAGCTCAGGCTCCAATTTGGGCGAACATTCAGCACTATGGCAGCATGCCGGAAAGAACAACATTGGCGTCGAGTAGTGATCTGATGGCGGAGATTTGTGATACGCTGTCTTCGTTGACGACGAGATCGGCAGTGACGGGCTTGACTGGGTTTGAATCGGCAGCAACCCCTGAACCTTCATCTACACTTGCTAGTCAAGATTGTGATAATAATGAAGATTACAGTTTTGTCCTCAATTTTGACAGTCAACAAACAAGCAACTTAACAGAGGACTAAGGTGGGTAAAGATTGTATAATTGATGACTTAATTGAGTGAGAATGATAGTCGAAGACTAAATTGGTAATTACATCATAGTCGAGGGACCATATTGGTTATTAAAATGCAGATACAATATAACAACACTGAACAAATACTAGAAGGTATATTATTTTTACATATAAGGTACAATACTATTACACGTAATGTGCATTATATCAATTATAGACCAAACATTCATTTTCTAACTACAAGAAAGTACAAGTTGTGGGCAATTAAGGTTGTAAAAACAATAATTATTTTCCAGAACAATGCATACTAACCCCCCCCCCCCCCCCCCCGATGTGGACCCGGGTTCAAAACGACGCCTTCTGAATTTTTTAAAAAATTTGCTTCCTTCCTTACCGCTAACTTGCCGTTTGTCTTCAGAATTCGTTTCTCTATATTCACAAATTTTGAACTCTATATTCACAATTTTAGATCTTAATATACAAAATTACAAAACTCAATATTCACAATTGCAGAACTCTATATTCACAATTTTTGAACTCTATATTCACGATTTTAGAACTCTATATTCATAATTTTAGAACTGAATATTCACAATTTTAGATCTGAATATACAAAATTACAGAATTCAATATTCACAATTGCACAGAACTCTATATTCACAATTTTTAAACTCTATATTCACAAAAAAATATCATTGGCTGAGGAAACGAAACCACTAACAACACCGTTATTCTAGACGCGCAAAGCTGCGTTGTTTTGGACCAGTCTTTATATCATGGACCGCGGTGCACATTGACCACGGTCAAAACGACGCCGTTTCTTTAAGTAAAGAAATGGCGCGTTGTTACTGTTAACGGAGCGCACATTTTTTTGGTGTGTTAATTACCAACTGAAACTACTGTGTATCTAAACTGATACTACAGTGTATCTAAACCAACACTGCGTCACGTATTATTTTATATATTATCAAATGGAACTGCATTTATATCAAAATGATACTGTAGTTGTGGTGAAATGAAACTGCAGTGTATATAAAATGAAACTGAATAACATTTCACATATTTAAGTGTATATTGTGCAATGAAGCTGTAGTTATATCGAAATGATCACGTAGCTGTATTTTAATGAAGCTATAGTGTATATAAAATAAAATTAAATAACATTTTCACATATTTGAGTGTATAAATAGCGAATGAAACTGTAATTGTGTTGAACTGAAACTGCAGTGTATACAAAATGAAACTGAATAACAGAGTTACTTTTTGCCGAACGGTGCGAAACGAATGCCATTTTTTTTCATTAAACAAAACGACGTCGTTTTGAAACTCGGTATATAATCGATTATGCACCGCGGTGCACGATATAATTTGCCGTTTTGGACCCAGGTACACTTCCCTGGCATAACAATTGCTTTTATTCAAAGTCGGCATAATCTGACATTTCATAGGGCTTAGGACAATGCACATAATCCAAATCTGAAAAATGATTTCGGGCGGCCCTACAGCAAGAGGCCCGAGGCCCAAGGCCCAGATGAGGAGAATGCGCATTTCTCGGTAGTCGTCTCCGTCTTCTCATACCTCTTTAGTATCAATCATTGTTTCGATCTTTCGAACAAATTTCTCAGTTTTATTCAGGAGCAGTTGAAGAAGGCTTAAACGCCTCGTGTAATAATCAGCGAGGTGTTTAAGCTGATAACAAAACAATAATCAAACCTGAATTCTCCAATTTTTCATTTTCCTTCTTCGTTTTTGTTTTTTAATTTTCAAGTATACCGTATATATAAAAATATTCAATAAATATAGGGAATAAATTATATATAGTTAGAGGGAGGTTTTGTGATTAAGAGGGAGAATAGATGGATAATATAATGAGTAGGATTCGAGGTTTGGACGCGTACCCGAAGATCAATGAAGATTTCTACAGCAGAACTCTCTCCGGCGGCGTTATAACCCTAGCATCTTCCGTCGTCATGCTCTTGCTGTTCTTTTCGGAGCTCAGTATGTTCCCCTCTCTCTCTCTCTCTATGTTTGTGCGTGCACGCGCCGTTATGTTATTACGCACGAATGTTTATTAAATGAGTTTTGGTGTTCGTTGGATGATTAACTGGTTTTAATTTTAAATTTTGGCATGATATGTTAGTTTGGATTTTAATTGCACGGATTGATCTTCTCTGAATTTATTCTTCATGTTTCCATTTTTTATGAATTTGGTGTAGTTGCATTTATTATTATTATTATTATTATTATTATTATTATTATTATTATTATTATTATTATTATTATTATTTTCAAACTGTTAGACAATGTATGCAGATGGAAATGGTATTAATGAAAGAAGCTTAGGCAAATTGAATAGACAATTATCCGAAATTGAATGTTTGAGACAATTTCTGGTAGGCCGTAGATTCTATTGATTACTTAACACACATTCATCACACTTAAAAATGACTTATCTATTAAATGGCATTTGTATGTAGGGAGAGGTTAAGATAAAAATTTTGTAAAGCATTGTGGAAAATCAAGATTAATTATGATTTGACATTTAAAGTTATCATACCCTTCTAAATGCATGATAAACACATTGATGAAGATAGTTTGTTGATTGATGAGTTGCCATCTGATCATGAATGGCTTGTGAGTGAAAATGATGAACATGGTTATCAAGGTGTCGCCTAGGCGTTCGTTCGGTGGAGACCAGACGCCTAATGAGCTCGCCTCACCTATGGGTTCGACCTGGGATTATTAAAAAAAAAAAGAAAAAAAAGGGATTAAAACCCTTCACAGCCTCGGAACATCGCAACATTTAAGCTTCATTTCCGTCGCATACTCGCATCGCAATGATCGCATCCAGCTCTAATCTTAGATTCTGGTGTATTTTGTGAACACTATTTATAATTTATTGATATATTTTTTTATAAAAATTGAGGCTTACGCTTCAATGTGCCTCGAGGCTTACGCCTCGCATGAACATTACAAAATGCCTCAAGGCATGCTTCCGCCTTTTAAACCTTGTAAAACACACATTCATGCATTTGGATGATTGGATCCCTTTTGGCATGTTTGCAAAGTCAATGACTTTACTATGGTGGTAGCTTTTGTGCTTTTATAAACTGAAAACACTACTAGGAAGAAGCAAGAGCAATTGTCATTGTTTGTTTTTTCCTTTTGGTGGAAGTTTGTGAACGCTTCGTAAGTGCCCTTAAGAAGACAAACTGTGTTCCTATGTATATTTTTTGTGAATGATTATATATATATATATATATATATATATATATATATATACACACTTCTATTTTTATTTTTTTTAAAAAAAAATTAAACAATTTTATTGTCTGAAATAATTAATCTCATTCTTCATAGAAGCAATTGCCTGTGGAGAATACATTCTTCTTAGTTTTTGGCCTGCGCATAGAGAATTATGATCTTGTCAACTATGAAGCTTTAACATAATAAGATGTACTACAAGTTTTTCTAGAGCCCAGATGTAGCAAGGAAACATCTTTACAGATGTGTGGCATTGATTTTGCATTTTGGTTTCAGAACATTGATTTTACTTCCAACTAGGGTAGGCAAAAACAAAGGTGACCATGATGTGGTTAAAGCATTGATTTTGTGTGAAAATTCCTGCTGAGGCCATCTTCCAGAACCTGCAGCATTTCAAGTTCTCTGTATTATAGAGAGCACAATAAGTTTAGTTTCAAAATTAGCTTGAATTAGGTTTACTATATGCTCCTTATTCAACAATAAGGGAAATAAGTCCTACCAAGTTCTCTATATTCTTTCCTGCATGGTGTGTCTCATATCTGGTTTTCTTATGATTCCTTTGCAGGACTATATCTCCATGCTGTAACTGAGACACAGCTTGTAGTAGATACCTCAAGAGGAGAAACACTTCGTATCAATGTAAGATAATAATCATAATATTAATGTGGGATAATGTTTTACATATATGGGTGCATTTGTTAATTCATTAAATTGACAATGTCTTAAGGGAGGGTGTTAAACAATGAACTATCTTGTATATTTTCTATATGTTCTGTGTGTCGATGTACAAGGAAGTATAGAGCTATTTATATAAGACAAGAACTAATCCTAGCCATAGATTTCAAACACCTAAACTAAGGCTAAGAGAGATCCTCTCAACTAACACCCTATTCCTCTAACAGAGTGAATAGAAGATATTAAGTTCTTCTTTTAACCCTTTATGATGAAAGTCAATTACATTTCAAAATATTCTTGTTTTCTAATGTATATAAACAATGGGTGTGCATTGACTGCCTTCAATTAGTTTATTGATTGTATGCAATTCCTATTTCGTACTCATTTAATAAATTATCCCAAGTGTGTGTAATATGTATGTACATTCGTATGCATGCATGTATATAATTCCAGCTTTAATTTTGCAATGTTCATTTCTGTAAAACATCCAATTATGCAGGTGTAGTATCATTTTATCAAAAAACTAATTTGTCATCCATTCTCTACTTGCAGTTTGATATCTCCTTTCCTGCGCTTCCATGTTCCATCCTCAGTGTTGATGCAATGGATATAAGTGGAGAGCAACACCTTGACGTTGTATGTAAGCATGTAGATTGTGTCTTCTATGTTATTATATATTGGTGTTTATCCCATCTCCTTGTTCCTCTCACGTGATATGATCTTCATCACCTACTTACCCTCCACCAACACTTAACAACCCCCCACAATTACCACCTACCTACCAACACTACTATCATCATTACCCCCATTGCTTTCTTTTACTCACTATTGCTATTCATGCCACCCAACAACAATTATTTCCCTGCCCTTGTTCACTTAATTCCTCAACCACTACTGCTATTTTTGGTTGACCACTATGGATCTTGATTTTATCTTCTACTATTGACGCCAATCGCTATGGCCCACTACATACACCATCCACTATAACAGCATCTCCATCAATGCTTTTTTAAGGGTTTTTTTTTTTGCTTTCTTGGAGGAGAGAGGTGAGGTGGAGGGAAGAGAAAAGAGGAGAGAAGATTTTGTATATGCAGTAAAATGTTTTTTTTTGTGGGTCCTGTGGAAAAAAAAGGAAAAATCGTTGCACCAGCTGCACCCGCTGGGCATGTAAAAAAGAATTATTATTATTATTATTTTTACTTTTTCGTCAGCTGTTTTTTCCCCCCTTTTCCTCTTCTCCTCCCTCCTATAGTCCTGTGGCAAAAAACCCTGACAAAAAACCAAAGTCGTCGCCTGTCGGAGATGCTCTAAGGTGTCAGATATGCATTACCTAGAAGATATGAAATTCGAATATATCAAATTTAAGACTTGATCCATAATATATATATACATACATATATATATATATATATATATATATATATATATATATATATGTGTGTGTGTGTGTGTGTGTGTGTGTGTGATAAATTTCAATTTTATTTTTGACTCAATTTTTATAAGTGGTTTCGGGTTACCAAAAACTTTTGATATTTAAAATAATTTTGATTCATGTCATTATCAGAATTGAAATACGATTCTAGACTGCAAATTTTATCAATATATAAACTTTGAAACTCAATACAAAATTAAAAGAATCTAAATTCTACTCCATTTTCAAATCATTTATCTAGTGACCTTTAAACACTTAAAATTTTCATACATTAGAAAACTAGAAACAGAAAATGGAAATTCTTTTGGGTAACCAAACAGGCCCTTAGATTTCCTCTGAGAAATTAGGATAATATTTGTGTGCTTTTAGGAAAAGCATTAGAGCTCAGTTGTCTTTCTTTTACTAGGTGTTATTGCTGTCATTTTTTATCATGCAAATTGACTAAGAATAAACTGTAGGATTAACTATGGTGCTTTGAGTTATGAAAGTGTATAGCAGAAAAGTTGATTAGAAAATTAACACCCATATGCTGATGTTTTTGTCCAAACTGTAATTAGTTCTAATAGACTTTGATTACATGTATAATTGCAGAGGCATGATATCATCAAGAAAAGGCTTGATTCTCATGGTAATGTAATAGAAACAAGACAGGATGGTATTGGTGCTCCTAAGGTGCGTTAGAGAAAGAAGTTTGAATTGTCAAGTTCATTACAAATGTATTCATTGAATCATGAGAAATGCCTTGTATGTTGTATCTGTGCTGGGAATGCTTAAGATCTAACTTATTGTTTCTTTTTTATCATTTCTTTTTAACTATGCTCACCATAAATATTACATGAAGATTCTAGGAATTGGATTTATATATCCATTGCAGCCATGGGTGCTAACAAAATAAAGATTTCTTTTCTGGTCTGGATTTAGCCTCCTTTCCTTTATTAATTTGTCCTACTTGTTATTGGTGTCATAGATTGAAAAACCTTTACAAAGACATGGTGGCAGGCTTGAACACAACGAGACATACTGCGGTTCTTGTTATGGTGCAGAAGTGGTATGCTTTTTGTTAGCTTTCAGAAATAGCCCATAATACATGATGCACTTTGTAACTTGTGGTTATGCATATTCCACTCTATATTGGTTATGATAATAGATTTGAAAGAAGGCCTTTGGCTACATGTTGTAATGATAGATTTGGAAGACATTTAGGTACCTTATAGTTACTATATTTGCTGTTAGAAAAGGGGAGCAAGTTTAGTCAGCTGCAACTTCAATCTTTGAGCTCTTTTTTGCATTCAACTCAAATTTTGGTTTATCTTTGCATCAATAATTTAAACCATCAATTTTACTTCTTGCCCAGTTAAAACAATTTGAGTTTCCCACTATCTCCCTTGATTTCTTTTTAAATTTAAAATAATTTAGCATTTCACTTTTCACCAAATATGTGTAATGCATTTACCATTGAGCTTTGAATCTTGGATGGTCATTTTTATGCTAGGTTTACGTTTAAAACTTTTACCAAGGTCTTTGGGCATGACCCTTTTATTCTTGCAGTCAGATGATGATTGTTGTAACTCATGTGAAGATGTTCGTGAAGCTTATAGAAAGAAAGGCTGGGCAATATCAGATCCAGACATAATTGACCAGGTTTTTATAGTATTTTGGTAATTCAAGATTCATGTTTTATAATGCCTTTAGTAGACTATCCGTGCTGGTTGTACCCATTTATATATCTATAAGAGCAAACACTTGGGTTTGGAAAATGGGGGTACTTTGCTTGTGCCTTAATTTGAAGAGTGATGAGATGTTTTGAGATTTCATTGATTTGTAAACATAGCTGACTTTTACCTTTTCCTTCCATCACTTTCCATGTGGAATTAGTGCAAAAGAGAAGGTTTTCTTCAGAGAATCAAAGAAGAAGATGGCGAAGGATGTAATCTGTATGGATTTTTGGAAGTGAACAAAGTGGCTGGTAATTTTCATTTTGCACCAGGAAAGAGTTTCCAGCAATCTAGTGTTCATGTCCATGACATCCTTACTTTCCAGAAGGGTAGTTTCAATGTAAGATATGTCTGACTTAATTTTTAAAACAAGTACAGTTTTTTCAGATTAGTTTTTGAGTTTTACCATGCTCTGCTTTTATGCTTCTTTGTATTTGTTTGTGAACTATATTATTTACCTGCTATATATTATCACAGATAAGTCACAAGATCAATAGGTTGACTTTTGGAGACTATTTCCCTGGCATTGTGAATCCTCTTGATGGGTATTTTTTTTCTCCCTTGCAGTTCTTTTACTTGATTTCACTTTAGCATGGTATTGTTTTTTCATCTTGCGGTCTTACCCTCTGTTTCAGCATTATCTTATGTGTTAAGAGTTAAGACACTATTTGTTTTGCTTACTGTGCCAAAGGTTCAAACTTTCTTGGAGACAAAATGTTGAATTTTTACTAAATTTCATTGTTTTTGCCCTCCTATCCCACTTTTTGACGCACAATTCCTATCAAAAAGTCTATTTTCATTCTTAATTGCAGTGTGCAGTGGACACAACAAACTCCAAATGGGATGTATCAATATTTTATCAAGGTAATTTTGCATAATTCCCTGCATGTCTTAGGGTTTATCATTTTCTTTACTGCATTACTGGCAAGGATTTAAAATGTGCTAGGCATCCATTTGGCGTTTGATGGGCCTAGCACCACCTAGTGCTCAACTTGAAAATAAAATTAGAGATTGGGAGTGGCAAGATAAAGCCTTAGTGTCTAAAATAAAACAAAGACCCAAAATGAAAAGTGGAAAGGTAAAAGCCTAATGACTAGGGTTTTACTTTTAATTTCAAAAATTAATAGGAGAAGGAGAAGAGTGAAAGCCAAAAAGAAAATTTGAAAACCTCGAGTTTGGGGGTCATGGACCAGTGTCTCAGTGTCGACCATTAACTATTGGCATGCAATGGCGAGCAGAGTTGCTTCTCCAATTGCGACTGGCAATGGGGTAGTTGTGAGCTGTGCAGTGGTTGATGAAACTGGTAAGGCTGAGGTTTGAAGGGTTGTTTGCCTGTTCCTTTCGGTCTGGCTCTTTGTTCATTGTTATTTACTTCTACCTGATTTTTGGGTTGTTTTGCTTAAAAACTGTCATTTTGAGCGAAACAACCCTAATTAAATAACAAAAATAAATGGCCAAATAGGTGATTTGTTGACTAATCGGCCAACTAGTCATACAATCGAATAGAATGGCGATTAATGCTAAATTTGAATTGGCCTAGAGGTGCCTAGGCGCTAAGTGCCCATAGGCTGAGACAATGTAGGCAATAGTATCTATGTTAATCGGCAGGCTGACTAGTCGGCCTACTCTGCTGATTTTATTATTTTTTTTTAGGGTTGTGGGGGCCTAAAATTTGTTGGGCACAGGGCACACAGCCTCCAATTCTCCAAATCTTATAATAGAACATAAACATGGAGAAACATGAGACTTAGAGATGCCATTGCCATCATCCAGTTGCCCTTCGGCACTGCCTGCCAGCTTGCGAGTCGCAATGACTCCATCGAGAAGGACGACAGTTGACAGCCCATCGCTGCAGCTGAGAGGGACTGTTCGCGCCATCACCTGTCCTTAAAGTCCCAAGTCTAGCAGTCTTGCTGTCGCTGCTCACTAGTCATGAGTTACTGCCGTAGTTCACCTAACTTGTGGTTTTGAGGTTTTCACAATTCCTTTACCCATTTGGAGTTTTCAATCGGTTTTGGGCTTTTGGCATTTTGGGAGATAACTAGGGCTATATTAATTTTTATAATATTATTTAACTTACCACTTGTCTAAATGATGGGAAAAATATAAGAACTGTTCTTTTTTTCTTTTTTCTTTTTTTTCCTTTAGCGCCTAGGCGCTAGACACCCATCAACTGCCTGAGCCTACTGACTTTTACAACATTGACAACACTGTTTTCTGGTCCATAGATTGCTTTGTGAGCTACTTGGATCAGAAATCCCCTTTAAGTTATTTCCTTCCTTTGAGATGATAGGTATGTGTACAAGTAGTCAAGTACTATTTGAACTTCAAGCAAATTCAGTTGTGAGTTTTCATAATTGTCCCAATGAAAGCTACATTGACTATACACATAGAGTGATGGAAAGTTTGATTGGAATGTAATATTTGAGTCTCATACATAACTAAAAATAGATCTTCTATTTTGTATGGAAGTATAATTTTGTGGATGAGTTTCCCCCTATTCCTTGGTAAATATAAGCACAATGTGCTACCTTAAAAATAAAAAAGCAAAGATTGATTGCTAGTTGGTACCCAGGTGTGAGCATCAGATCTTAGATATGGCTATAATGCAAGCCTGCAAGGGCAGAATGTCAGATAGGTCTACTATCTACATGTACTTGAAAATCCTACTCTAAAATTACATGAAGCTTAAAACAGAGTCCATTTATTCAGGGGTTTCCTACTACTTGGAAACATGTTCATTGAAAAATCATTTAAATAAATTGAGTATAGAATACCAACAGTTATAAGAATCAATCAACTAATTCTTATTTTCCTTTGGACATTATTAAAATATACTCTTTATTTTGTCATAGGTGGTACCTACTGTCTACACAGATGTGAATGGGCACACCATACAGACAAATCAGGTTTGATGCTCTTGCAAATTTTGCAAGTTTTGTTTCTTCTACTTATCTGACCTGATGCTACAGTGTGCCTGCTTTTGACCTCCTGCAGTTCTCTGTAACTGAACATTTTAGGGGAGGAGAAGTAGGCCCCGTTCAGGCTATTCCTGGAGTATTCTTCTTTTATGATCTTTCACCAATCAAGGTCAGGAGTCATTGCTTGACTAGATTAGTTTTCATGAATGAAAATCCAAATTTTGTTTCATGAAGCTAATTCTTTTTTGTGTCTATCATTGTATACACCATGTAGATTTCCTGATGAACAAATTATCATTTCAATTTTACTGATTCAGGTGACATTCACAGAGCAACACATATCATTTTTACATTTTCTGACAAATGTTTGTGCAATAGTTGGAGGTACAAGTCCATCTTCCATCTCTTCTCATCTTTCAAGTGTATATAACAATAGTTTTGTAGCTGGGTTAGAAAAATCAAGTCTAATATTTCTAATCTCCTTTAAAAGGGGCACACTTGTGTGAGACCATTCCGTGAGTCGGGTCAAGTCTGGTCAATATGAAAATGTTGTACCTATACGGACAAATGTAATACTAATAAGAAATAAAGTGTTGGTTACTTATAAGGGAAAATGTAATACTTTTGAGGAAAAATGTAATACTTTTACATTTTAGAATGTAAAAGTATTACATTTTTCCTTGAAAGTATTACACTTTCCCTTATAAGTAAATGTTGGCAAGTGTTTGTTACTTATAAAGGAAAGGTAATACTTTTGGAGAAAAATGTAATACTTTTAAATCAAAATGTAAAAGTATTACATTTTTTCTCAAAAATATTACACTTTCTCATACAAGTAATAAACACTTTATTCCTGATTATTATTACATTTTTCAGTATAAGTATTACACTTTCATCTTGACCCAACCCGTACCACGTACAAGGATCCGTGACTGTGAGACAAATCTGACACAAGTTTTTGCCCCTTTAAAAAGGGTATAACATTTCTTCTCATGAGAAACAACATGCATTGATATTTAGTCTTATACCTCTATTTATTAGAAAGTATACAGACCCTTGCAGCACTCTTCCCTTTAATCCAATATTGATTGTCATTCTACTGTGGTTCTTTATGTGTACTCTCATTTCTATTTGTAAGTTAAAATTGTTAGTAGTGGGCAAATCATGTTAGTCATTCCATATTCTCCTGTAAGATTGCTTGCTATGATCATGCTCAGGTATATTTACGGTGTCGGGAATAATTGATTCATTCGTATATCATGGACAAAAGGCGATTAAGAAGAAGATTGAGCTCGGCAAATTCAGTTGATGGGGGATCATAGGATGCCATATACGATCCTTTGTTCATCATCCCATTAAATAGTGAGGGAAGGAATCTGTACAGAAAGGAAATCACAGCTTGGGGTCTCTTCACAGAATCACAAGCTTGATGGAAAACTTGGAACTACATAGTACTTCACGCTACATCATTATCAAGAACAAGATGGAATGCTAATTCATCGTCACGCTGTATCCTTCTGTAAAATGAGATGTTCTGTTTTGCAAAGCAAAAATATTGAGGTGAACTTTACATGTCTGATGGGGTTGTTAAACCCCCACCATTTCTTAATTTATTATTTCGTGAATTTAGTCATTTCAAATGTGAGTTAATTTAGTGGAGATGCGTTAGAGTCAGAAGATAGCTGGAGATGTTATTCTGCCATTTGGGATGGGGAAAATCGAAAAAGTCGGATGTGTTATGTATTGTTTCTTATCTCCTATGTTTTTATGGAATATGTATAAAACATTAAAACCTATAAGAGTTGGTTAGTATTCTTAAATTCTGTCTGTGCTCTTTTGTTTGAGGAGTAATATATATTCTTGTTGGAAAGATTACACTTTTATGGGTGTTACAAAAGCCACCGAAATCAAATAAGTTCCAAATTTATTCATGAACTCGAAAAAAAAAATAAATAAAAAACAATTAGCATTTTTAGCACGTTAACAACATCTTTGCGTTAATTAGTTAATTGCTCTTTTTTTTTTTTTTTTTTTTTTTTTTTTTTTTCATGACATCCCAATTAGCATGCATAAAATCTAAAGCCTGGGCCTGCATGTAGGCTTTTTGTTAGGCTCAAGCCTGAGCTTGCAATTAGTCTAGTCTGGCTTGAAGCCTTCTTAAAAGCCTATTTAATATTTAGGTTATTAAAAATGTTTCAAAATAAGTTCTACCTTGAGCCTATTAAAGCCTACATGTTAAGACTTTTTAAAAACTTTAGTATATCTAAATAATATAAGAAATGTACCTAATACAAAACTCATACATAATTACATAAGTATATCACCACAATGCAAACATAATAGCAAATAAATATAAAATAAAATAAAACAAGTCACGACTTCAGCATGCTCGTTAATTTGTTTTGAAATAAATCCAATTGTATTATTATTTGCATCACCTTCATTAAATGTAGTCAAACATTAATAAATATTATTTATTTTATTTTAATAATCAAACTATTAAAGAAAAACACTAAAACTACAACTAAAACTAAAACCCGGGCAACCCAATGGATAAGACTTGAAGCTTTCCGGTAGTAACTCTTTAGAAGCTTAAGCTGTTGATAGAACTCCATGAATGCCTTTCTCATTCTTTCTTCTACTTGAAATTCAAATCAGAATATGATGTCTTCAAAATATTCTTCAATGTGGAGATGGGTGTTTCAAGCTCAACATTGACTTTTATGTGATCCACCACCTATAAAAAAACATTGAAAAAAATAAAAAAAATAACCTTCTCTGATGAGAAGGTAGCCCATCCAATGGGTTGCCTTCTCACCAAAGAAGGCGAGTTTTCCTTTTTTTTTTTTTTTTTTTTTTTTTTTTTTTTTTTTTTTTTTTAATGTTTTAGCTCAATTAATGGGCAACCTTAGAACTTGCGAAGTGAAAATACTTACAGATCAAACTAAAAAGCAAAAACCAGTAGCCTTTGCTGCTAAAGAACAGGACGATACTGCTGATCCAGATGAATCAGGTGATGATTCAGTTGTATTTTTGACTAAAAAGTTTTCTAAAATTTTGAAACAGGTATCACAAAGGAATTCTCAAAACAAAAAGTTTCAAAAAGGAGGAAGCTCAAGCGTGTCAAAAACATGTTCAAAATCTGGAGTGGTCAATCCCAAATCTGCTGCCCCTCGTCCAACACACTCTAAGGAAAAATCAAACAACAAAGGGATTAGGTGTTACGAGTGTGAAGGCTTTGGCCATGTCCAAGCTGAGTGTCCCACGTATCTTAGGCGGAAGAAGTCCATGTCAGCCCTTACTTGGAGTGATGATGAACCTGACTCTGAAGCAGCCGAACCTGATACAGAGGAAATATCAGGTAACTTTGTAGCATTCACGGCTCAAGTTGCGTAGCATTCATGGCTCGAGTTGCGGCGCATTCAGAACCTGATGAACCAGCTGACTCCGAGGGAGGCGAATACAATTCGACCAAAGATTTTGACACACCAGCTGTATCTTATGAAGTAGAATTTAACAAACTGTATCCCAAATGGGAAGCCTTACTTAAAGCAAATCGTTTACTATCTAGTGAAGCAAGGGTATTAGACAATGCTGTAAAAGTATTCAAGGATCAAGTAGCATATAGGGATATATTACTCAAAGTATCCTCTGATGGAGAAGAGAAGATGAAACAGGAAGTACATGCACTGAAGCTGGAACTGAACACTTTCAAAACGAAAATTCAAATGATGGATACTACCTCAACACTTCACAAAATTCTTGATTCGGGAAGACAATCTTCTACAAAATTTGGTCTTGGTTTCACAGGCGGAAGCAACAAAGACAAAATCATTTTTGTCAAGTCATCTGGTCCAGATCTAGAGGATATCCCTGAGTCTAGTTCAACTAGGCAAAACCGTGAATCAACTCCATATGCTAGCTCAGCGAAGCCAAAACAAGGGTATAGTAAGGCAAAATAGACATATTTATAAGCCTTATAACCCCATTTGTCACTATTGCAGGCTGTGAGGACACATCAGACCTGAGTGCTATTACTTCTACAAAGACCAAATGGCGGAAAAGCATAAACATAAGTACATTACTCCGTTTACCAAACAAGTATGGGTAAAGAAAGCTGACTATATCTGTCTTGTACCTTTTCACGCTAAAAGTGCAAGTAGGGAGGAAAAGTGGTACTTCGACAGCGGTTGCTCACGTCACATGACCGGAAATGCAAAATTTCTAAGTAACATAAACAAAAGCAAAGGTGAAGTAACCTTTGGTGATGGAGTCAAAGGAAAAGTAACTGGAGTAGGTACTTTATATGTTGTAGGTCTACCCAAGTTAAAAAAGGTGTTACTTGTGAACGACCTTCATGCCAACCTTACAAGTATCAGCCAGCTTTGCGACCAAAACTGGAATGTCCAAAGATAGCTGCAGCGTCATAGATAATGAAAAGCAATGTGTTATGGAAGGTAAGCGATCAACATACAACTTCTATATTCTAACAAACGATATCTTGTGTTGCAGGTCTAGCATAAATGAGTCTGAGTTGTTGCATCAAAAACTAGGCATCTAAATTATAGATCACTTGATAAACTTATCAAGATGGAAGGTGTTCGCGGTCTACCTAAAATGAAAGTTGACTCAACTGGAATATGCAGCGCATATCAAGCAGGAAAGCAAACAAGGACACCACACCCAGCACAAAAGACTATTAATACCAGCCATTGCCTGGAGTTGGTGCATATGGATCCAATTGAACCAATCCAAACAGAAAGTGTTGGAGGTAAGAAGTATATTTTTCTATGCGTTGATGACTTTTCATGTTTTTCGTGGGTTTTATTTCTTAGGGAAAATTCTGAAGCTCTCGGAGCATTTAAAGCTCTAAGTCTAAGACTCCAAACGGAGAAAAGTGAACAAATCATTAGAATCTGGAGTGATCACGAGCGAGAATTTGACAACAACATGTTCGAAGAATTTTGTAACCAGTGTGGAATCACTCACTAGTACTCTGCGCCAAAAACACCTCAACAAAACGGAGTGGTTGAAAGAAAAAATTGCACCATTCAAGAAATGGCTCGAGTGCTACTTAATGCAAAGGCTCTACCTCAAAAGTTCTGGGCTGAAACCGTGAATACTGTGTGCCACATCATAAACCGAGTTTATCTTCAACCGGGCACAAATCAAACTCTATACAAAATATGAAAAGGTAAGAAACCGAACCTCAAATATTTTCATATTTTTGGCTCACGATGTTTCATTTTGAAGGATAGAAACCCTGTTGCAAAATTTGAGCCTAAAAGCGACGAAGGGATCTTTCTTGGTTATTCAACCAACAGCCGAGCATATCGAGTGTACAACAAAATGACCAAAACCGTTATGGAGTCAACCAACGTTGTGGTTGATGATCAACCAAATGAAATAGTAGAAATTCTGCTACCTGAACCAGTACAAGAATCTGCTCCAAGTAGTTCAGAAACCCCTGAGTCTGGTCCAACATCTTCTACGACAACACCTGTCACTGCTCAAACAAGTCCAGAACCAGAGACTAACTCCGAAGCAGATCAATATGCACTTGATGTTCTAACACGCATCCAGAAAGAACACCCTATTCAAAATGTGATTGGAGATCTGAGTTCTGGTGTCCGAACCAGAGGAATTAAACGTGATTATCTTCAATTAGCCGGATATGCATGCTACACGTCCAAACTTGAGCCAAAGAATATCAAAGAAGCTTTAACAGATGAACACTGGATCTAGGCCATGCAAGAAGAGTTAGGACAATTTGAAAGAAACAAGGTATGGATTGTAGTTCCCAAACCTAACAATGTTAATGTTGTAGGCACAAAATGGATCTTCCGGAACAAAACCGACTCAGCTAAAAACATAGCTCGAAATAAAGCTCGTCTCGTGGCCCAAGGTTACTCTCAAATTGAGGGAATCGACTACGATGAGACATTTGCCCCAGTTGCCCGGCTTGAATCAATACGTCTTCCTTTATCTATTGTCTGTGCTTTAAGAATCAAGCTATTTCAAATGGACGTCAAGACGACCTTTCTGAATGGTTATCTATCGGAAGATATTTATGTTGCTCAACCGAAAGGGTTTGAAGATCCTCAACATCCGGACTACGTCTACAAATTAGAAAAGGCCTTGTACGGTCTAAAACAAGCCCTAGGGGCCTGGTATGAAAGACTCACACACTACCTTTTACAACATGGTTATAAACGAGGGAGAGATGATAAAACGCTATTAATCAAACAGTCAGGTAAAAACTTAACTATTGCTCAAGTTTATGTTGACGACATTGTTTTTGGGTCCACGCAGACAGGTGCAACTGACCAACTAATCAAAGCCATGCAACAAGAATTTGAAATGAGCATGATTGGCGAGCTAATTTATTTTTTGGGATTACAAGTAAATTAGAAAAATGACGGCATTTTTGTTTCCCAAGAAAAATATGCCAAGAAACTTTTGAAAAAATTCGGTTTAAACTCTGCTAAAGACGCCCGAACCCCTATTTCAACGACTACAAAGTTATTCAAAGATGAAAAAGGAACTTCGGTCGACTCTACACTGTACAGAAGTATGATCGGAAGTCTACCGTATCTAACTGCGAGTAGACCAGATATTATGTTAAGTGTCGGGATGTGTGCACGATATCAAGCCAATCCAAAAGAATCACATCTGAAAGCTGTAAAACGTATTATAAAATACGTTAAAGGTACGCTTAATTACAGCATTTGGTATTCAAATGACACTAACTTAACTCTTGTAGGATTTAGTGATGCCGATTGGGCTGGAAATGCCGATGACAGGAAAAGTACGTCTGATGGATTTTTTTTATCGGGAAAAACTTAGTGGTTTGGATAAGTAAAAAGCAGAACTCAATCTCGCTCAGTACTGCAGAAGCTGAGTACATAGCTGCTGCACGCAACTGCTCTGGATGCGTCAAATTTTATCGGACTATGGTCTAAATCAAGAAAATATGACTCTATTGTGTGACAACACCAGCACCATTAACATCTCTAAAAACCCGATTCAACACACCAGGACAAAGCACATCGACATATTTCACCACTTTATCCGTGAATTAGTCGAAGAAAAAGAAATAACCTTGGATTATATTTCCACTGACAAGAACCTGGCAGACTTGTTTACCAAACCGTTGGACAAATCAAGATTTGAATTGCTACGAGCAGATGCCCTCACAAATTTTTTTCTTATCAAGAATCCTAATTCTTTTTTCTGATCAAGAATCCTAATTCTTTTTTCTGATCAAGAATCCTAATACAAATAAAACTCTTTAAATCTTATCATATCTCAACTCTACTACATAGCATACAAATGCATGACATCTCTTCCATCAAATCACATCAGTTCACACCTTTTGAGAAAACCCAAAATCAAAATTTTCTTTTCTTATTTCTTTCTCTCTACGCCGAGAACATCATCCCCATCCACTTCATCTTCTACCTTTCACCACATTCACCATTAACAATCTTCTCCAAGCTTAAAAAATGGTGAATCCATTCACAACATTTACAACAAAATTTGATAGGCTTGCTCTTTACCATAAGATCATCAATGTTGAGTCCCCTTTGTCTTCTGACGTCACGGATCGAGCCCTAGCCACTGTCATGCTCCAGATCTTCTTGAGGGTCTCACAACCAAGGAGACACGTTGAATTCAAGCTCTAGCCCGGAACATCACTGCTGAGCCATGGCTCGTGCCTCCTGCGACTGCCGAGGGTGCTCCAACGCCGGTCGAGACCGCGACTGCCTCCCCTTCACAAAATGTGGTATTACCTTTACCTTCCTCTCTAGAGGATACTCACTCATTATCTACATTTAGGAAGCTTGATTTTAGTATGTCTTTTCCTGAGCAATTTGCAACATCTTTGCCTAGTGAAAAATTATGTGTCCCTTCTTTGCCTATTCTTGGAGATCCTTATAATCCAGCCACTCACAACTCGTCTTCTTCTAATCTTGTGTCTGATTATGCCTCTGAAAATTTAGTAGCTCTATTTGACTATGTGCGATCTATTTCTTCAAATTTTTCAATTCGAAATGTTGCTCAATTTGTTAGTGTACCTCAGTTGCCTATGACTTGTGATGCCTTTACTATTCATTTGTCTATTTCTACAATCCATTCAAGGTCTGAGCATGCTCCTTTTCACGTGTCTTCTACCCATGAGTCTTTTCCCGCGATTTCTGACCCCTGGAAAAGTCTTCCCGAAAAGGGAAAGACAAAGCTTCTTTTTTAGGTACTGTTGAGAAACGAAAAATTGACACTCTTGATGAGGTGGAGTTTGTCTTTGAGACTAAGCAACAACGAAGGGGGTCCACTCTCCCGCCGCGGATGACACGGTCACGTTCTGGTACTGTTCTAGAAGCTCCACCTGTCTTAATTTCGTCCAGCTCTCGACCCAAGGGGTACTTTACTGTCTCCTGCCTTAATGGATGAATGGAGAGTTCATGCTAAAAGGGACTTGATTCTGGAAAAATCAATCAATGTGGAGGAATTGGCTGAGAAGTGAAATATCATTCTGATCCTAAAAAATCAACATCTGGTTTCGTCTCTTCAGCATATTGGGCCCTACTAAGCTTGGTTGACGGCTGAGTTTTACACAAACTTAACCATGGATACATTCACTACAGGTTCCACACATTTTCAGCAAGTATTCATATGGGACAAATGGTATCCTTTTGGTCCTGCAGAAATGAATGAGCATCTAGGCAGACCCACACAGCAGAAAGTCCCTGATCCCAGTCTACATCTTCTAGCAGCTGCCCTGACTCATAATTGGGAGGTATCATGGCCTAGCACTGGTCTCAAAAGTCTGAAACTTACTACAGTCTATTTTGTGCTCCTTCGACTTGCTTCTGCGAACTGGATTCCTGCTGTTTGTCCATATTTTATCTCCGATCAGCTTGTTCTTTTTCTCTATAAGATACGCAACCGAAAGCCCTTCAACCTTGGAGAAATGATCATTTCCCATATCATGTCCTTTGTGAAGAAGAATGAAGCCAAAATTCATCTTCCTTATCCCAATCTAATTTTTGGTGTGCTCAAGCTTCAAGGGTTCAAGCCATACAAAGATGAAACTATGATCCAACATGACAACACCTATATATTTGATGATTGGCTGACTCAGAATCAACACTATGATGACCGAGCCACTCTTAGTGCATTACCAGCTTCACCAGCTCCAACGCCACCAGTTTCTGCACCAGGATCTTCATCCGACACTACCTCTGCTCCTGTATCTGAATCTGGTGCAATGCCTAAGGAACCTCCCACTCTACTTGCACGCAGGAAAATTGTTGCTACAGTTCAAGAGTCAATAGCTCAACTTCAGTGCTCAATTGCATCTCAACAAGCTACCATCTCCGAGTTGGAGAAGATTTTAGGTGCACAGCTCCAAGAAATCACACGCCTTGAGAACATTCATGCCCGTATTCTTGTTGACAATAGAGATGTGGCTACTGATACTAGGACTTATGAAGATGAAGATGATTCAGTTTCGGGCACCCCGTCAGCACGCTAGACCAATCCACTTTTGATGTTCATCACTCTTTTTGTCATTTATTTGGCAAAAAAGGGGAGTATGGTAAGAGTAAGGGGGAGTTTTTGGTAACTGTTTGTTGGAATAAGGGGTAAGAGAAAGGGGGAGTAGTAGTAAATAAATGGTTGATGTATTGGGTTTATGACTGCTGCAATTTGGTATGCAAGGACGGAGCCAAAGGGGGGCAGGGTGGGCAGCTACCCCCCTCACCCCACATATAATTTTTGTATGTATATATGTATATATAATATAGGTTTTAGTATTAGTATAAAAAAAAACTAGTAAATGTTAACAAGTAAGGAGTTAGGTTAGTTGGTAAGGCATGTGTTTGTTAATAGGAAATTTCTTGGGTTCAAATCCTCTTACATTAACATAATTTTACATATTTTTGAGTCCTTCTCCTATGGCTTCAACATAGTCACATTTTTAGGCCGTCTCTAAGGAGACGGTAAATCAACGCCAAATGCTATTTTAGCGCCTAGTTTGGCGCTGAATCTCCTCCAATGTAGCGCCAAATTAGGCGCTATTTTGGCGATTTGCTACAGTGCAGCGCCAAATATGGCGCTGCACTGTAGCATTTGCGCCAAAATGGTGTAAAGCTTTTAATTCCAATTTTGACCTTGTTTTTTTTATTAATTCCTTTTGTATCCCTATTTTGTTTTTATAGATTTACATATTTTGTTTAAATATATATACATAAAATTTGAATAATTAAAAATAAATTATATCATTTGAAAGATCGCATCAAGACAATTAAAACAAGCCTAATATTATATATAGATTAATTAAAAACTGAAGTACATAAAACATAATTTTCCTAATATTAAACCAAATACATCCGAAATTAAATAGGACACACTTAGAATTAATAGTCTCCAAGACCACCTCCATTCCCTCCCAAATTATCAAAATATTGATTAAATTTACTACTTGATTCACCCCCTCCTCCATGTGTTTGCTCATTAGCTCTCTTTGCAACAATTTGTAGTTGCTCATTCCTTATAGACTCACGCACCATTGGATCTGTGATTGAATCTAAATTTATGCGTAAGATTTTATTTTCTTCTCGGCGCACTCTCTTCTCTTCTCGACGCTCTCTGTTCGCTTCTTGTCGTTCTGCCAACTCTACTTTCTTTGCTTCAGTATGAGCTTTTAACAACTGAACCTCATAATTTTTTTCAAGTATATCTTGATGATGTTGGAACATTTTTTTGATTTGTTCATTTTCTGTCTGGATGGATTTTAAAAATTCCTTATTTTCTTCATTCAGTTGTTTCTTCTTTTTCTCCTTGTTCCTTCCCGTAGGACGCTCACTTGCATTGTTGTTTTCGTTAACCTGGTCTGCACTTTCAAAATCGTCATTCAAATCAACACAAAAAGATGATGAGCCTATTGACTTATCTGCTATATCATGCAGTGATTGTGATCCTTGAAAGTCAGTATTTCGCTTTCGGCTACCAAAACTTGCGTCTCTACTAGGAGTAGAGCTAAATTTCTCGAGATCCTTAAGGATAGGTCATACGTGATCAAATCTAAACCCCTTTGGATATTTGGCATCTTGTGACTTTAAATCTTTTGCTCTATCTAGCTGTTATAAATCATAAATATAAGCAATTAAATAACAAATATGTGTAAAGTACTCACAATTTAAGCAAATGACTAATAAAACATTTATAAAGTACTCACAATGTCTTTTTCAGATGCTCCGCTCGGGTTCATGTTTTCAATTTGGCGGACGCATCCTCTTAATTTTGAAACAGCTGTCAATATATTTTGCATCCGAGTTTGAAGAGATCGCCAAGATCAAATATTACCATTATTCGCTGGTAACATTTGATGGTACTCAATCCCAATACGAGTCCAAAAAGCTTGTTGTGCCTGATTCTTACCAACTTCAGGATCTTGGCTAATATCACAATACACACGACATAGAAGTTGATCTTCCTCGATTGAGTATGAAGCAGTTCGGGTTGTGCGTGAGCTCGACATTTTGCAAAGAGAATGGAGGAGTGTTTGAGAGGAGGTTTAAGAATCCAGAGAGTGGTGGTTTTACTTTGGCAATCCAAGTGTAGTATTTATAGTTGAAAACACTTCTAATAAAGGTTGTGATAAGATTTCATATCTTTTGTTGGATTCCATGTTGGAAAGATTTGCATACCAATGAATGGTTAAGATTGTTGAGATTTAATCCAACGGTTGAAAACACTTCTGATAAAGGTTGTGATAAGATTTCATATCTTTTGTTGGATTCCGTGTTGGAAAGATTGGCATACCAATGAATGGTTAAGATTGTTGAGATTTAATCCAACGGTTGAAAACACTTCTGATAAAGGTTGTGATAAGATTTCATATCTTTTGTTGGATTCCGTGTTGGAAAGATTTGCATACCAATGAATGGTTAAGATTGTTGAGATTTAATCCAACGGTTGAAAACACTTCTGATAAAGGTTGTGATAAGATTTCATATCTTTTGTTGGATTCCGTGTTGGAAAGATTTGCATACCAATGAATGGTTAAGATTGTTGAGATTTAATCCAACGGTTGAAAACACTTCTGATAAAGGTTGTGATAAGATTTCATATCTTTTGTTGGATTCCGTGTTAGAATGATTTGCATACCAATGAATGGTTAAGATTGTTGAGATTTAATCAACGGTTTAAAACACTTCTGATAAAGTTTGTGATAAGATTTCATATCTTATTATAAATACTAGTACATCACATACAAAGTTATCATTCATCTCTTCATCATATCAATATTCAATTATGAATTCCAACAATGGTAAACGCCCTATACCATTTTTTTCTTCATCCTCATCTTCATCCTCACCTTCACCTTCACCCTCACCCTTATCCCAACAATCAGAGGATGATCTTGATCTCAATACTATAATACAATCACAAGAGCAAGCATTACTAAATGTATATGCTAACAACAACCCTGTCATGGCTTACTATATGGAAACTACGACAAATCAAGCTAGCAACTCAAGGCACGGTGGTTCGGTTCCTGGCCATAGAGTGATTCATCGTGATCGTGTTGATGGTGATAGAAGGTTATGGGCTGATTATTTTTCAGAAAATCCAAAATATAATGAAACAATATTTCGTAGACGATTTCGAATGAGTCGAAATTTGTTTTTACGAATTGCCAACGCCGTTGAAGATCATGACAACTACTTTGTGCAACGGAGATATAGAATTGGAAGGCTAGGCTTGTCTACTTTACAGAAAGTAACAGCAGCCTTTCGAATTTTAGCTTATGGAGTACCAGCAGATGCAACGGATGAATACATTCAAATTGGAGAATCAACTGCAATTAAAAGTGTGAAGAGATTCTGCTGAGCAATTGTAGAGGTCTTCGGGGAGCGCTATCTAAGAGCACATGATGCTAATGACGTTGCAAGGTTGCTTCAATGTAGCGAGAGTCGTGGTTTTCCAGGGATGCTTGGGAGTTTAGATTGTATGCACTGGACTTGGAAAAATTGTCCAACAGCTTGGGCAGGACAATATTCTGGGCGTAGTCGAGAACCAACTATTATTCTTGAGGCTGTAGCTGATTATGATTTGTGGATATGGCATGCACATTTTGGTTTGCCAAGGTCAAATAATGACATTAATGTGTTGGAGGCGTCTCATTTGTTTGCAAACCTTGCAAATGGTATAGCACCCCCAGCTCATTATGTTATTCAAGGAGAACAATACCATACGGGATATTATTTAGCCGATGGTATATACCCAAAATGGTCAACCTTGGTACAAACCATTCATGAACCTCGAGGGCTAAAGAAAAAGTTATTTGCAACGATGCAAGAAGCATGTAGAAAAGATGTCGAACGCGCATTTGGGGTTCTCCAGTCACGATTTGCAATAGTCAAGGGACCGGCACGTTTTTGGGATAAACGTGTATTACATGATATAATGACATCTTGCATCATAATGCACAATATGATAATTGAAGATGAACGTGATGAGCAAGCGGATATACAAAGGTGGAGAGAAGCGCGGGCTATTGAAGTTGATATACGTAGAGATGAAGCTACTCTATTTCAAGAATTTCTTGCTCGACATAGACAAATAAAAGATAGAGAAGCGCATTATGCACTTCGTAATGCATTGATTGAGCATTTGTGGCAACTATATGGTAATTCTGAAAATTAAATGTAATAGTTGTTTTTTTTTTTTTTTTTTTGAAAGGAAATAGAAGAATTTATTAAAATAAGAGTATTATTGTGGAATAAAAATATTATTTGCATTACAATTAAATTTCATATTAAAAAATTGAAGTAAAAATAAAAGTTATAATTTATGAGAAAACAAATTATTTTTGTGTAGAAATAAATTTGGTGTAGAATTTGGTGTAATGGGTTGGAGATGAATAAAATTTGGTGTAAGAATATTTTGAGAATATTCCTTTTGGTGTAATGGGTTGGAGATGGCCTTAATATTTATAATGTGTTTTCTATTCAAATTATTTTATCAAATTAATTATGTTTCATATTTTGTTATGAATATTTTTATAAAGTTTCGATGTGTTTCATTTTTCGCACATATCCAACAATATTTACAACTGTATTTCTTAAGTAATGGTTATAAAAAAAATAATTCTTAGATAATTTATTTATTTTGTTTAAATGATCTCTTTTGTTTTAATGTTTCGCTTTTACTGAAAAAAAATTTCTGAATCCGTCCTACTTCATCGCCGCCCCCCCCCCCCCCCCCCCCCCCCCTCAATCCAATTTCTGGCTCCGTCCATGTTGGTATGGTGTCTTGACTACTACTACTATGCTTTTCTTTTGGTAATCTCTTATCAGTTTATCTCTCTCTATTATGAAGTTTATTATTTTTGGAAGATTAGATTTTGTTTAGCTATTCTATCTTTTTATTATTCTTTGGACTATCTTGAGTTATTATTAACTGTAATATATTGGAGTTCTACTGGGTTTCATCAATACAGATTGTTTTGGGACTTATTACTGCTGATTCATGGATGGAATACGGTCCAAAGAGCTTTGCTAATTGTTTGATTACTTCTAGTCATAAGCTTATTGTTAAGCACATATACAAAGGGCCTTTTTAAATAAAACTAATTAACTTATTTTCACTTTTTGCCCAAAGTATAAGATGCTATAGTTTTTTTTTTTTTTTTTTTTTTTTGCCAAATAAATTGCCAAAAGGGGAGATTGTAAGTGTACAAAGTTAGTACACATTAAAACCTTATATTGGCTAATTTATTTATCAAATAAATAGGATTAGTTTAGACAAGCTCTTGGACTGTTTCCTATCATAAAGACCTTATTTATCTAATGGTTCATGATCAGTGGATGTATATTTGAAAAGAGGAAGTCAGCAGAGTTGTTATATGGGTGAAGCTAATTACAATGGATATTTATATTATGAGTGGTTGTGGTTTATTTGATTTAAATCGATGGCTGTTTATTTGGTGAAGTCTATTGGAATTAAGATGGATATAAAAGGGACTTCTCACTTTGGAAAGTCACGAATTCTTACACACTGGTTTGAGAGAATTGAAGTTCTATATATTGCAACATTCTAAATCTGATTATTATACTTATTTTATATGGGAATTCTGTTGAGCTATACTGTCTGTACCTGGGTCAGCTGAAGTGTCTCTTGAAAACTATCTTAGCATGCACGTACCAGTCATGAGTAGATGTCAGGAAGATGGTTGTGGTAGTAGCGGCTGATAGCCTTATGTACTTACCTCTTGTAAAACTCCTCGGTGAACATCTATAGTGGATTGGGCAGACGTGGGTTGCCCCGCAGACGTAGGAGAAGCGCTCCGAACTGCGTAATCAATTATCGTGTACTTGATCTATTTTCTGCGTTTATTTTTGTTATTCATAATTGCTAAATAACAAAAATTAATCGGTCTGAAATAATTTAATTTAAAATCAAGTAGAACTTTAAGTTTTGTTTTTATTCAAGCTACGCGGCACAATTTCATATATTTTGTGTTATGTGAAAAATTTGAAAGTAATGTTTGACAATCTTAACGATCGTACTCATATAATTATATATATTATTGCACATAGTATAATTAAAAATAATTATCAATAATAATTGGTACAATCGTATATGAAATATGATATATATATATATATATATATATATATATATATATATATATATATATATATATATATATATATATATATTGTATGGTTAGTAGTAATGTCGACTAAGATAATAAATTTCCTCTATAAATTCGGTCCCCCCAACCCAGACTTTCTGGCTCCATCCCTGCTTGTAGCGGTAGGGAACGAACCATTTCTCAAGTTCTACCAGAAACTAGGATTATTCAATGTCACGTATATATCGCTTATGAACTTGCAGAAGGCACTGAATGAAGCTGGGATCGGTAAAACCACCAAGGCAACCATATCATTTAACGCCGACGTGTACCTGTCTCCGCTAGAAAAACTCGTGACGTCCGCCGAGATGTTCTGGCAAGACATCCTCAAACAAGTGAGGCAAATCATTGAAGTACTGGTCAAGAACGACACAAAAAATGTTGTTAACCTGCTAAAAATGCTAGTTGCTCTTTTTTCTAGGTTCATGGATGAATTTGAAACTTATTCGAGTTAAGGGGCTTAATTACTTTTCCTTTTAAAATAATAAGGATAAAGATGGAAAAAAATTTTAAAGCTACTAGCTTATTTTTTTAATATTACCAAACAGAGCTTATAGCTTATTAGTAGTTTAAGGCTCTGTTTGGCAAACCTAGCTGAAAAGCTATAAGCTAGGAGCTGAAAGCTGAAAAGGAACTGAAAGCTAAAAAGCTATAAGCTCGGAGTTGAAAACTGAAGAGCTGTTAAACTAGTTGTTATGATTGAAAGTGTTTGATAAAATTAGTTTTTTGATCAGCTGATAAATGTAAAAAGACTAAAAAAGACATCTTCATAAAATTTAATTAGTTTGTTTACATATTAAAATTTAACTTTTTAATTTGTCTTTAAAAAAAAATATTTTGAAATAAAACTATTAGCATAATTATGATCTAGCATCTTATAATGAATTAGCAATATTGTTGTAAATCTCATAATAATAATAATAATAATAATAATAATAATAATAATAATAATAATAATAATAATAATAATAATAATAATAATATTTGCGGTGAAAGTTGTGGATAAAAGAGAAGAGAAAATGATTTTAATTGGGAATGATAAATTATATTATTTCTTTAAAATAATAAGGATAAAGATAGAAAAAAAGTTAAGAAGCTAGGAGCTTATTTTGGGAACATTAACAAACAGAGCTTAAATTATTAATAGCTTAAAATAAATTATAAGCTCCTAAATAAGCTCTGCCAGAGTCTAAAATAAATATAAGCTTCTAAATAAATGTGAAACAGAAGTTCAAACTTATGCGGATTTTCCAACCTCTTTAAATCTTCAAAGAAGCCCTAACCCCACTCTAAAGTTTAAAGTGGCACAATAATGAATTATCTAAGAAATTTCATATATTGCAGTTTTGCCATCATATTCATGGGTAGGAATTTTCCTATATGAAATTTGAAAAGTTTAAATCATCCATCACGGTTAACCTACCCTTTAAATCTTTACTTTTAGTACACTAGACAACTTGGGCACCACCCCCACTAATCTATAATTATTACTTCTGTTACATTTTATCTGATCAACTTACTATTTATTAGTCAAACTAACCCTTTCTTCTTAGTTTATTTTTTAATATTTTTTAATTATTTTTAAATTTAATTTTTTGTATTTAATAATATTTTTAGTGTAGTTTCTAAATATATAAATTTTATAAATTAATACTAAATTTAATATTATAAAAAATTAAATTAAAATAATTTCAATCAAGCTTTATTAATTAAATCATACACATAAAATGAGACGGATACCTATTAATTAAGAAATTTCCTTTTGAGTTTGGCCATCTTTGGCTGAGACTTTGTCATGATTTTCTTAAAGGTTAAAAAAAAAGGTGCAATTTGATTGGATAATTAGAAACTACGATTTTGATTTAAAAATAAATAAATAAATTGTACATATGATATTCTTGTCTGTTAAATTGGATTGTTGTGCCGAAAGGTCTAACAACCTTAGTTTCTTCATCATTGCAGTTTATTAATTGATTTGTGGTTGAAATTCTTTTAGTACCAGCCCTATCCCTACTTCAGAGTAAAGGTGTGTTTGGTTCATCGATTTAGTTATCATAAATAGGAATCAAAGTTATTGTTATTGTTTGATTACCTCCTTAATTAGAAAACTTATTACCTAATAAAATAAGGGTTTCATTCCATTATTCCCCTCCTAATTGGTAATTTGATTTTTACGTTTGGATTAGTGATTTTAGATTTTTTTTTTTTTTTTTTGGTGTTCATATTGGTGCTTTGGATGTCTCTATATTAAAATAAATTGTTTTAATTTTTTGTTCTTGTATTTTTTAAACTTTTATTCCTATTATAGGATCATGCATAACCAAACAACAATATTTGTAATCTTTCCAATTCCACCCTACTACCAATTAAACATCAAAATACTTTCACCAAAACTCATTATCATTACCAAGTATTTGATTCCTATTCCAATTCTGATTCCTATGTGGGAACCAAACACACCCTAAGTTTTGTCGGAGGTGATAATGCATTTTATTACTGGGAACTTATTAAGAAGACTATCCAAGTCAATCAAATATATTGTAGTGCACATATAGCAATCTTACGTTGGATTGTCTAAGAAATTTTCATTGAGTTTGACAGTGGCCGGAAGGAAATTTCCATTACGTTATCGTCTGTGTACACACGCATTTTCCAAGCTCTTTAAATCTTTAGAAACTAGCAAATCAAGATAGAAGATAGTGTTCTCAATTTCAAATATGGCTTCTTCTTCATCTTCTTCATCTTCATCTACTACTGCTTGGGTGTATGATGTTTTCTTGAGTTTTAGAGGAGAAACACGAAAATCTTTTACTGATCATCTCTATGAAGACTTATGTCAAGCTGGAATTAACACCTTTCGGGACGATGAAGAAATCCGAAAAGGTGAGAACATCACTGATGAGCTATTGAATGCCATCGAGGGGTCCAAGATATCCATCATTGTATTTTCCAAAACTTATGCCCAATCAAGATGGTGTCTTGATGAACTGGTGAAGATTCTAGACTGTAAGAAAAAATTGCAACAGATGGTTCTGCCTATATTCTACAACGTTGATCCTGCAGAGGTTCGTAAACAAACAGGTGAATTTGGTAAGGCATTGGCTCAACATCGACAACGAGTTGATGATCAAAAAGTTGATGAATGGAAAGTTGCACTCACTACTGTTGCTGATTTGTCGGGATGGGATTTGCAAACCATAACAAACGGGTAATCTTCTTTTCAATTTGTGTGTGTATGTGTGTGTGATAGTATGATATATTTATCACAATTTGGCTCTCTAACTCTATTGTCAATAATATTAATAGTTAGTACGTTTTGCTAATTAATAATTGCGTTCTAGCATCTATATATACATTCATCTTTACGGATGGATTAATATTTCTGGTAACACAAGAAAAATCTGCACTCTGCATTTCAATTTATTTGTCAAAAAATATTAATTCCTTTTAGAAATTAAAATTGTAGATTGATTATACCCGTTGATAAAAAATATTATAAGAGTTGTTTACCTCAAACAATGGAATCATGAGAGACTAAATATACATATTTTGTGTTCTGTGACGTGCTCTGATCTATTTAATTTCTTAGTTTTCTGTTTTCCACCTATATTTTCTTTAATGATTTAGATTGACATTCATTTGAAAAATGTGATAGGTATGAATCGAAATTCATCAAAAAAATTACTGAAGAGGTACTACGAAAAGTGAATTTAACATGCATGAATGTTGCAAAGTATCCTATTGGAATTGATTCTCGTGTTAGAGATACATTTCATTTATTGCAAACTCAAAGAAATTATGACACCAAGATGTTTGGAATTTTTGGTATGGGTGGTGTCGGAAAAACAACCCTTGCTAAAGCCATTTACAATTTGAGTTTTCAAAAGTTTGAAGGTTGCTGCTTTATTGCAAACATTAGATCACAAATTTCTGAAGGGCACAATGGTTTAGTTCGTTTACAAGAGAAACTTCTTTGCAAAACACTCAATAGAAAGAAACTTGAAATAGATAATGTTGATGAAGGAATAAGTTTGATTAAAGAAAGACTACGATCAAAAAGTGTTCTTATTGTTCTTGATGACATAGACGATACTAGTCAACTAGAATCATTAGCAGGACAACGGAATTGGTTTGGTTCAGGGAGCACAATTATAATAACAACTAGAGATGTTCAGTTGTTGAGTCACATGGAAGCACACGAGAAATACATGGTAAAAACGTTAAGCCCTGATGAATCCTTGCAACTCTTGAGTTGGCATGCTTTTGGTGTTCCTATACCATTAGAGGAGTATATTGAACTATCCAAAAGGATAGCAAGTTATACTGGTGGACTTCCATTAGCACTTACAATTATAGGTTCTCATTTGCGTGGCAAATCAGTGCAAGAATGGAGTGATGATGCTGAGAAATTAAGAGGGATACCTCATGATGATGTTCAAAAAATTCTTAAAATAAGTTATGATTCACTTGATGATGATACTAGGAATATCTTTCTTGATATTGCTTGTTTTTTTATTGGGCATAACAAAAATGACACTTCTATGATATTGGAAGCTTGTGGTTTTTATGCTAAAAGCGGAATAAGAATTTTGATTGAAAGATGTTTGTTGACAACAAATGGAGGTGAAAAGTTTGAAAGGCTTCAGATGCATGATTTAATACGAGATATGGGAAGAGAAATTGTTCAAAAGGAATCTCCACGAGAGCCAGGCAAACAAAGTAGATTGATTGACCCAAATGATGTCTTTGATGTTCTTCACGGGAACAAGGTAAAACATTTCCTTTGTATTTGAGTTATTCTAGTTAATTGATTTGGTTTCTATACTCAACTTTATTAAAATCAAAGATTTCAAAATATCTAAAATCTAAAATATTGTTATATAAATGTTTTTTTATAGGGCACAAAAGCAATTGAAGGGATAATTGTAAATTCTAACATGTCAAAAAATGTGCCTTTGAATACTCAAGTATTCAAAAGGATGGTAAAGTTACGAATACTCATATTGAATGGTATGTGTCTCAGCGGATCTTTTAAATATTTATCCAATGAGCTTAGGTTGTTTAGATTACACAATTGCCATTTGAGTTGCATACCATCTAATTTTCACTGTGAGAAGCTTGTTGAGTTAGACATGAAAGGTAGCAATATCGAAGAATTGCAATGCAATATGCAGGTTAGTATGTCTTATGTTTCTTTCAACATTGCATATTTCTTAATTAAGAACTTTGACTAGGAAAATAGCAATTGATTAAACCCTTTTCTACTTTTTTTTTTTTCAACAGCATTTTAGATGCTTGAGGATATTAAAGCTTGATTATTGTGAACAACTTAAGAAAACACCAAACTTCACTGGGGCACATACTCTTCAAAAGGTATCCTTTAAGTGGTGTTCAAATTTGGTCAAGGTACACCCATCAATTGGAAGTTTGGAGAGACTTGTTGAGTTAAATTTCTTTAGTTGCAAGAAACTCAAGGTTCTTCCAAGTAGCATTTGCAAGTTAAAATCACTTGAAGTTTTAGATTTAGATTATTGCGAAAAATTGAGGGAGCTTCCAACTGACTTGGGAAACTTAGAGCAACTAAGAGATTTACTTGCTCGTCAAACTTCCTTCTCACATTTACCATTTTCTGTGGGATGTTTGAGAAATCTAAAGACACTAGAGCTCGAGGTGTACAGGAGTTCTGTACTATCAAAATCAAAATCAAAATCAAAATTGCCTCTCTTTTGTTCAAGAAGAAGTCGTGATGGTGTTGGTTTTTTTCCACCTTCAGTTGCAAATTTGTGCTCCTTGGAAGTTATTGAAAATTTGACCTCATTGGAAGCTTTAGATTTATCAGGAAGATTTTGTTATCTTCAAAACTTACCCTTCCGCCTTTGTCATCTTTCAAACTTGAAATTTCTCTACTTGGAGGATTTGCAAAATCTTAGAGCCCTTGTAGAACTTCCTCCTAGTTTGGTGGAACTCTCTGCAGAAAATTGTGTCTCATTGGAAAAAATAGCAGTTGTATCAAACTTGAGGAGACTTAGAGTCTTGCATCTTGAAAACTGCAAAAGTTTGGTTGAGCTTCCAAACTTGGAGAATCTTTCATCCTTAGTAGAGCTTAACATAAGCAATTGCAATGCTCTGACTATCCCTGACAACTATTTGCATGAAGTAGATGGTCTTCCAATTGCTCTTAGGAGTTTGTCCTCATTGAAAGAATCAGATTTAATGGGAAGCTACTATCTTCAAAGTTTAACATTATGCCTTTTCCATCATTCCAATTTGCGAATTCTATGCTTGAACGGTTTGCAGAATCTTACATCACTTCCACAACTTCCTCCTAATTTAGAGATACTATGTGCAAAGAATTGTGTGTCATTAGAAAAAATAGCAGATCTATCAAACATGAAAAGACTCAGAAGACTAAATATTCAAAACTGCAAAAGTTTAGTTGAGCTTTCAGGCTTGGAGAGTCTTGAATCCTTAAACTATCTTGAGATAGGTAATTGCAGTGGTTTGAGGATTCCTTCGATTGAAAAGTGGTTCAAGGTTAGTTATATTTGTTCCCTTCATCTCTGATATTATTATATTAGAATAGATCGATGGTAATGATTATGGTATTATTAATTGTTATATTGTATTCCATAATGTAGGCACGTTCTAAAGGTGATATTGTCCAGATTGTGGTTGGAGTGTCCGGGGGCCAAAGGTTTGTCATAAATTGCAAATTTCCAATGCCTTTGGGGGATGTATGGTTTGAAATCCCCCACAATGTGATTGATCCCTGCAGTAAAATTGAAGGAATTGATTTGAGTGTAAGAAGAAAAAGCAGTGGTGCTTGGATTCTTCTAATGGAATCCCCCAGAACCCGTTTTAATCCTGCGTATTTTGAGGTTCCAACAATGATGGGAGAAGTATTGGAGGTTTACGTAAAATTCCATCCTTTGCATATGATATTTTTTGCATTTGAAATACATAGAAATAGAGAAGGGGAAGTGCGTTTCTTTCCATCCACAGAGGCAATTTCATCAACCATAAATTAGAGGTGTCAGAGCAGCATCAAAGTTACATTGTGCTTAGCAACAATCATCTTCAGCTTCTAATTTGCTGCAAAATGGATTATTGTAAGTATATCCTTTACACTTGACAGACAGACACCTCTTTAACATCGAACTATATCTTTTAATTTGTTGTTTATTTAATGGCCCATTTTAATATTTATTATTTATTTTTACTTTATGAATCAACCCACAACTGTTGTATTTGGATTATCTCTCTCTCTCTCTCTCTCTCTCACACACACACACACACACACACACACACACACACACACACACACACACACACACACACACACACATATATATATATATATATATATATATATATATATATATATATATATATATATATATATATATATATATATATATATATATATATAAATCATTTTCCAGGTGAGTCCATCCCTTCACTCCGTGTGGATAGATCTGAGTCATTGAATGCTTGAGATCAATAGCTTAGATTTCGTCACAGTTGCACAGTTCGTAATGCATTGGCGAAATTTAAGTCATTGATCTCAAGCATTCAATGGCTCAGATCTGTCAGCACGGGCTCATGGATAGGGGTGGACTCATTTGAACATGAGTCTATATATATATATATATATATATATATATATATATATATATATATATATATATATATATATATATATATATACTAATAAGAGCCCAAGAGAGTTAGGCCTATAATGGGTAGAAAAAATGGCGGTCACAGATTTTAATCAAATGAATGGCTCAGATTGATAAGATTTAAATTTTACACTAAAATTTCCTAAAATACCCACACACCGTTACTAATTCCGTTAAAATTTTAAGAATTGCCGTTAGTTCACCGTTAACTTACTCATTGATTTCAATAAAAAAAAAGGTCTTAGGTTCGAACCTCATCCCAATCAAAGTTGGCATAATTAGTACTCTATTTTACTCTTATTAAATTATATAAATAATAATTTAGTAGCTACAACAAAAAATTATAGATATGCATTTCTTTAATTTAGAATTATGTGTCCACAATGTCTTTATTAAAAAAAAAATATTCATTATCAATAAATTAAATAAGAGAAATAACTGTATTAGTTATATTGTCTTTATTTTTCTATAATATAAAAATTCTTTATATTCAAATTTATTAATTGATTATATTCGCTACATTGTCCTTACAATGTCTTAATTCAGGGAAAAAAATTATTCATTATCAATAAATTAATTAAGAGAAATATTTTCATTAGTTATATTGTCTTTATTTTTCTCAAATGTAAAAATTTTTACATTCAAATTCATCAATTGATTATATTCACTACATTGTCTATTATCTTTTTTGTGCACTATTTTTCTAATTAAATATCAAAGTTATAATACAAAATAATGCTATATATTTATTTACCAAGTATTTTATTAATACCATGAAAAAATTAAAAAAATATAATTAATAAAGTCAACCATATTAACTACTTAGAGAGATTTTGTGACAAAGAGAGTATTCAAATCACACAACAAATTGAAGTGAGAACTACCTTGCAATGTCCTTGTTTGACAATCCGCAGTTAGCGGATTATATTAGCGGATTTGACCAACGAATTTATTTAATTATTAACATTGGGTAGAAAAAATGACCGCCAAATTATTAAATCAAATGAATGGTTCAAATTGTTCAGGTTTTAATTTTTTTTAAAGTTTTTCTAATTTATCCTTAATTATATGATTATCCATTTAACTTTTCCGTTAAATACCGTTAATTCACCGTTAGTCTAATTCTAATATTAACGTCTAATATAGAATTATAATTACACCATTAATCTAATTCTAATATTAAAGTCTTAATAGAACTTAACCACAAATCCTAATGTCAAAATCTCCTCAAACAATATTAGTATATATTTAATATTTTATGCCCTAATTTTTATTTGTTCTCCCTTATGTCCCGTATTTGGTTTCAAACATACCTATACAATTATTTTATTGACAATTATAATCAATCTTGACTATATTATCTTGCATTTGTAAACTTAGAATTACCTATTTAACTCGTATGGGCTTAGCTCAATGGTTTAGTGGGCAGTATTTGGGAGAAGAGACCAAGGTTTGAATCTCGGCGGCGGCAGTGCGGGAATTATGTCCAAAGTGGGCAGATTCCTTGTTTGCACCGGCATTTGGTCCTGTCTGCTGAACCATTGAGTCACCGTGATTTACAACTTCCCACAATGCTCTGTCGGGTCGGAGTGTGGGGGGCCCTTGGGGTTGGGGACTCAACTTTTGGGAGAAGAATTACCTATTTAAATACGCAAATTCTTAATATACTTTAAAGTACTTATTTAAAAAAAAAAAAAAAAAAACATTGGGCATTATCCCAATCGCGCAATGCGCGTAAAAAACTAGTATATATATAAGCATCGAATCTGGTGCAACCCCTATACTAGATAAGATTATGAGATCTCATGATATCCATTGATTCATTTTCCATAAATGGTTGAGATTATAAGAGATTGTGAAAGTAATTAAGGATATATTTAAATCAAAAGGATTAAATAGTAATTGTAGATATATGTTTAATTATAGATATAATTCAATTGGATTCTTAAGCATTATATTAGGGAGATTATGAATGGAAATTGATATTTTAAATTATTAGGGACCCTATCAATGGTAATAATTAATTATATTTTGTACATCTGAAATTTTAAATTATGAGAAATTTTACGGCGGTGTTGCGTGGGTGTGGAATGGTGTGTGCGTTTTATAGTTTGCTATGGTGTACACTTCCTGTTACAGAAAACCGCACACGTCATTTCACACATGCGCACACACCATCATAAAATTTCACACAATTCAAAAAAAAAAAAAAAAAACACACACACACACACACAAGCAACCCAATACTATATCTACTACGCACTGATTATCTACTCGAAATTCAGACACCGATACCCAAATTAGATTCGTATATTTTTGTTTTCTTTTGGATACGTTTCGCACACGCCCGAAACTAGTAAAACACAAACCAAAATGTACATGCCTGTATCACGAAACGCACATACCAAAACGCATAATTTTATGAAAAAAATCAGCACGTCATGGTGTACGAGCCCTGTTACAGTAAAACGCACACACCATTCCACACCCACGCACACACCGCCGTAGAATTCCAAAGAAAATCACTAAGAGAGAGAGAGAGAAAAATATTAAGGAGAGCTGAAATAATGCTACAAATCTTTATAAACATGGAAATAAATGAAATGGAAAGTAATAAATATAGTGCTTAAAGACAAAAAGACACATGCTTCATCTAAAATCAGTATAACATGGGATCCAAGTGATAATCAATCTGAATCATCAAAAAATTAAAATCAACAATCAGGGAGTGTGCTCACGGGCTCGGCTGACTAGGGAGTGTGCACCGGATTCAAAATCTATATATATATATATATATATATATATATATATATATAGAATAACAATCATATAGGAACTCATCTTTAGGTAGGAACATAGGAACTAATCTTAGCCTTCTATCTTCATTAATCAATGGTTTATATTTTTATTTGTTTAATATGTTATTTTCCGTAACTGAGATTATATTAAAGGCAATTAAGGGTAGTTTAGGTTTTTTAAAAGCAATGTGTATGGTGTGCGTGCGTAATAGTCGCATTCTCCTCTAAGTCTAAGTCAGACGAAAGTTTCGAATTCAGGACTCCTTCACTTTATTGACTACCGCAGGCCATATTCCGGTGATCTCTCTCCCTTTTCGCTGCGTCTGTTCTCAGGTTGATGGTCGGCGTTGATGGTAGGAATCCTAAGCATTTCCATCCGGCGACGAGGTCGTGCGTTCGTGGTCAGTTTTTTTAATTTGTTTTTCCTTTGCGTTTTTTTGCAATGGGTTTGCGATTTGCTGGTTTTTTTTTTTTTTTTTTTTGTTCTCGCTGATTCTGGTGGTTGGGTGTGTAGTTGTGTAGGGTTTGGTGTTCTAGTCGTCGACATTGCTATGGTGTTTTTTTTGCTTGCTTTTCAATTCTTGGTTGTTTTAGTTATTTCTTGTGTTCTTTTATTTTTATTTTTTTGTTGTTGTCGTCTGCACAGTCTCCGGTTTATAGGCGGCTCAAACAACTGCAAGCAGACAATGAACTGTTGCTGTAATGAACTCCCGCCAGCTTTATCTCTATCGCCCCCAAAATGGCCTAGGCCGCCAATCACTTGATGGGGTTTGAGTTTTGGGATTATCGTAGTCCGAAAGGCTCATCAATATATAAGTACTATTACTGTACAGGGGATGCATAAAATAGCTAAAAGAGGAAGCCATACTAACACAATAACACCACTAACATTTTGTTTCTGCCAGTTTGTATAAAAAAAGATAAGGTTTGCCTTTTCGGCTCTTTCTTCACTTCTCTGTGTTATCTTTTATAGGCATCTTTGTTCATATTTGAAATCCATGGCATTTTTATTATATATGTACCTGGACATTATTAATTTGAACTTAAAATAGTAAAATTCTCTTTATGAATATGATTTCTTCCCATTTCTTTTGTTTATTTAATGTAATGTTTATTTAATGTAACAGTGGTGGTCATATATGTATAAGTAATTGATTTAAATTGTATATAAAAATAAAATTAGCTTATATTCTTTTGTTCATATTGAGCTGCATTTGAGAATACATTCAACTGAAAAATGCTTGTCTTATTTATTAGTGTGTTTTCTTTGTTGTTGTTGTCTGATGTTGGGGGTCGTGTATTCGGGTTGTGGGTGGGTAATTGTATAGGGCCTTTGGTTTTGTTCGTGGTTGGCGGCAGGGTAGATGGTGTATATTGTTTGTGGTGGTAGTGACTGTTACCGATGTGGGTATGGATCATAGTTAGTGTATTGGTTTTATTATATTGTTCCGTGTATTGGTTTAAGTGTTTGGTATGTTGTTTTGGCATTTTCTATTTTTCTATCAATTTATCCCCTTTGCCAGAAAGAGTTGATATTTGCGGTCCTTGATGATGTGGTTGATGAACGGTGTGGGGCGATCGTACAGAAGTTTATTCCTAGAATGACGATGCAGATGCGTTGGCGTGATGCACATAACAAGGTGGATTGTGGCGTATTAACAAGGACATGTGCTCATTTCAACTAGTTGATTAGTGATGTTGTTAAGTTCATGTAGGTACTTTTATGTTTCATGTGTTATGATGATTGAGATTTAATTCAAGGGAGTTTTATGTTTTATCTAGTCTTTTTTTTTTTTTGAAAGTACACAATGGAATCAAGACATATTAATACTACTCGTTATGACACACATGGTGTTACCCACGTGCATACTAATTGTGCACAGCATGGCACACACAGTGTAACCAAAGTGCACATCATTGTACAACATATCATCCTGGTTTTTAGTTTTCTTTATGTCAGTATCACTACAAATTTTTGCACATACAATCTAAACCAGGTGCACACCTACTTGAGTTTCGTCTTCTCAAGCACACACTCATTATGGACGTTATGGCACAGACAATTTTATGTAAGTGCACACGGATGTGTATAACTTCATCATGGTTTCCGTGGATTCAAACTATAAGCATTTTTAGAACGTCATGGCACACACAGACCAACCTAAGTGCACCCTCATCATGGGCACACTAATTCTACACATTATGGCTCACATGTAATAACCCCGTGCACACCAATTTTAGTCCGTGCATCAATCATGGCACACACAATGTAACCCAAGTGGACACAGTTCAACCAAATTGCACATCCTAATATATCAATCCAAATGCACAAAGTCCAACCCAACTACACATCGAATTGAGTTTCGCATAAGTCCACGCATGTTCGTCAACACACTAATTGTGCCCATTATGGCACACACGGTGTAACCGACATGCACACCAACTTCTTTTTTACGCATTTTCGGGCACAAACTAATTCCGCACGGAATGACATATGTGTTTTCATTCACCAATTAATTATGCACAGTATAGCACACACGGTGTAACCCGATGTCACATCTTTGTACAACACATCCACCTGGTTTATGGGATTTCATTCACTTAGTGTCACTACACAATTTGGCACACACTGTTTACCCCATGTGCACACTCGTTATGTAAGGTTTTGGCGCAGACTGTTTATACAAGTGCACATGGATGTGTATATCATCGTCTTGGTTTCTGTGGATTCAAACTATTAGCGTTTTTGCACGACTGGCACGGACATGGAAACCTAAGTGCACATCTGTTCATGGACAGACTAATTATACACATTATGGCACACATTGTGTATCTCACGTGCGCGCCAACTTATACAACATCTCTTAGTTTAGAAACAAATTCCGCAAAGTATGACACGCACAGTGTAACACAAGTGCACACCATTGTACAACACATGATCCTGGTTTCTAGTTTCTGAGATCACATTTTGTTAGTAGCATTGCACATTTTGGCACACAGTGTTAAACCCAGGTGCACAACGACTAGTACTATGTCTTTTTAAATGCACTTTCTGCAACATTATATCACTCACAATTCATCCCAAATACACACATTAACCTATTAAATCAAGTTGTCCTACGTTTATTCATTTACAAACAGAATAATAAAGACCGTGCAAATAACTTTAGGGCAGCGGTATTCGAAGGTATAATTCTAGAAATATTTCAACGACTAAGCCTCAAGACGGTTTCAGGCGTAACAAATAGTTTCGGCTATGATGGTGTCCTTATTGACTCTTCACACTCTTGGGTCTAGTACTTCATTGCTCCTAGTAAAATATTCATTACACAACCGGATGAACTCCTTGATGAGCCGTCAAGATCTGTGAAGCAATCAAATCATTATAAAGTCAGAATTTGTCTTAACTGTATAGCACAAACAATTGTTCATATGTGCATGCACAACAACAACAACAACAACAACAATAACAATAACAATAATAATAATAATAATAATAATAATAATAATGATGGTCAAAACCTAGACTATGTGGTCCAATGGTACCCGGGTTGGACTTCTATTTGGAAGGTTGTGAGTTCAAGAGGCGTTATTAGCTCTTTGTGTTTCAGTAGGTTGAGAAGGTATATGAACAAATATTACAATGTAATAGAGCTAGTAGCATTCAAAAAAAATTTGTCAATACACAATTTTTTCCCTTTTCCATTGAGTTATGAAATTGCATTGGACAGGAAAAGTCGAAATTCAAACCCGAATATATTTACTAAATAACTACACTCACACTTTTTCCACACACACACACACACACACACAAAAAAAAAAAAAAAAACTACACTCACACTTAATATTTCTTGACCACTAAAGTATGTTCTGGAGCACAATATTTGCCATATATCCTAATCTAATCTAATGAAGATGCAGCAAGGCCTAATTCCTGGCGCAAGATTAAACTCGCATCCTCTACACCAACGCCGAGACGCAGAGACCTAGTCGCCGGCAAGTTGACGCCGTTATCAGACAATCCCCCGGCGGCGCCGCTGCTCGACAGCCTCAGATTTGGACCCACTTTGCACTTCCCCAGGCACTTGCACCCACAAACGCTAACCCCGCCGCCTTCCATCTCAACCACCCTCTCAAGTTCCTCCAATATAGCTTCAGCCCCTAATTTCTTGCACTTCCCTCCCATACACACCTCAATTTTCTTCCCCGTCTCTATACTACCAGTAGTTATGCACCCAACTTCTGCAGATTGCCCCAGGGAGATGATGGGATCTGGAATAGCTGGCTGCGACTCTGGAACAACAACAATCACTGGCTCAAGATCGATCACTTCTTCTCCCTGTGTTTTCACCATGCTAGAAAGCATCAATGGAGCCTTTTCTGCGACGGGCTTGGGCTTCGTTTTGGTCATATTTGCAGGACCCTCGCACTCGCTATCGCTTGATTCGGATGAAGAGCTTGACGAATCTTTACACTTTTCTTCCTTCCCCTTCTCCTCTAACCTTAGTTTTTGGAGTTGGGCCAGCAATGTTTCTGCAGCTTCCTGCAATAAATCACAATTCTGAGATTAGAACAATCATATAAGAATCATCATTCATTAAACCATTACCAATTAGCCACGCAATTAATCCCAGTCAAGATGATGATACGAATTCAAATCATAGCCTTCTTGATTTGAGGTTCAGCTATAAACAATCTAAACTAGTTTATCTCTTTGTATGAATAAGAGGCAATAGAGATTAATTAGAATTACCGTAATCTTCTTTTCATGATCTTGATCAAGCAAATCACACGGGTTAGGGTTAGAACAATCCAACCCGAAACCAATCTGGGTCAACGTAGACAGATCCTTGGACAAATTCTTGAGCAATTTCGACCTCTTCTTCAGCATTTTCTTCCTCTTTTTCTCCTTGACCTTATCATCGCGCCGGAGAGTCTCCGATTCGACCTCGCACCTGATTCTCCGGCGGGAGGTCGAATAGTACCCCAAGTGGCCCTCGTCGGTAAACCCAGAAGCCAGCCACTTGCGCCCCACAGAGAAGGGAATCTCCGCGTGATGAGAAGATCGGGAACCGATTCCCGAGCTGACGGCGCAAGGGACTCGCCGGAAAACACCCGATGTGGCGTAGGCATCCATAGCTTAAACGTCGGTAATTCTATCGCTGGAATCGTAGATTGAAGTAAACAACGTTTGATAATCCGATTCAGTGAATATTTATTGATTGATTTCTGCAATTCTATTCGCGATGGGAAAAGGGAAAGGCATAGAAGAAGCAATTCTATTGGTGATAGGAGAAGGCATAGAAGCCTGGAAGGGGTATTGGAAGCGATTGGGATGCCACGTGGGTGTTTGTTGTTGGCTAATGATTACGTGGCGTCGACGTGTGCCTTATGCCTGCAGACTCGCGAGTGGATTTCTTTGTCCACGCGGAATCCTCATTCCGACACGCGCATCGTGATGATCTGACCCGTTAGATTTGCTGTGAGAGAGTCCGAGAAGGTCGACTAATGCCAGAAGGTTGACACGTAGATCCACGTATACCAATTCATGGTGAACCGGTGACCGTAGTATTTCAAAAGTAATAATATTATGGCCCTCTTTGGTAAAAAATTGGCCTATAGGCCAATTTTGAATTATTTGACCACTATTAATTGTTTGATTGAGATAAAATATCAATATAAATGTTTTGTTAATTAGTTTTTTGCAACTCCAAAATGCTAAAATTCAAAAGGTTATTCCAAGCAACTTTTTCAATTAGCTTTTTGAGAAAAGAAATTACACCAAACAGCTAATTTACCAAACATTTTTCTACAATCAGCTAATGTTATCAACTATTTATACACTCTAATTAACAAAATCAGGTAACAGCTAACAGCCATTGATACTGTTAATTGTTACGTAAACAGTAATTAAATAAACACGAGACCAATTAAAGCAAGTAAATATCTTTATTGATCCCAGTGAAGGCCCTAAGTACAATCTACTTGGTTGCTCTGAGTACCGACTGACTGCGGTCGGGATTCTCTAACAACAACCTATCGATCGTCCAAAAGTCCCCCACACTGTAGCTATCGCGGGTATTTATAGCCGTGGAGCCGGAGACACAAATCCGGTCGTTCGGCATGTCCTCCACGTGTCATCCTCCCAGGTGCCCTGCCTGTCGTCGCATGGAGCCGCCACGTGTCCTTCGTCAGCTCTCTCGCCTAAGGGCTACCGCTCGGTGGTCGACACTGCCGCTCGGGTAACTCCCGGTCGTGCCCCGACCGGGTCTTTCACAAGAAACCCGACCTGTTACCTGCAAAGACAAGAAGAAAAGGACGAAGGCACACGGATCGGGGTAAAGCTATGTCGGTCGGGATATTCCCTACCAAGAGCCCCCCAGCCCGGGCCTTTTTGACCGTCCGGGTGAAAACGGGACGGGATGAAGAAGCCCAACCGTCAGCCATCAGACCAACCAGCCAGCTGTCATTCCTTCCCTTGCCACGTGTCGGCCACTGCCGGCCTCTACGACTGCAACGGTCGCCTCGGAATCAGTGCGGGTCGTGTCATGCAAGTGGACTCATTTCCCGCCTAAATGCTCTCCTATAAATAGGCCCTTGAGGCCCTCATCTTAACTTTCTCCAATCTACTGCTTCGATCGGTACCCTCAGAGAGTCCCGAGCAAAGCACTTCACAAAGGCAATCGAGCAAAGGATTTCAAGACTCTCCTCGCCAAGCACCTTCAATCGGTAAGTTCTCAGCCCCTCCTCTTACTTAACATTTATATTTATACGTAGGGCTGATAGGTCGCAACTAACTGTCCCGGACATCTCGAGTCCCCTACTAACTCGACCGACCTTTAGGTAGATCGAAATGACCGACTCTGACAGCCAAAACGCCTCGGTCGCGGACTACGATGAGGAAGTCGAGCACCTTAGCGATGAAGAAGTGGACATCATGTCCTACTCACCTGAGGTCATCCACCGACCGGTACAAGCCCCCGAGCGGGCCCCCGAGCGAAGAGAAACATCAAGCTCGTCCGGGTCATCGGGCTCCAGCTCAAGCGGGTTGGGGAGTTCCAGCGGAGAAGACGAGGAAGCCTCGACAGGCGGACGGAATTCTCCGACCGAGGGTGTTAGGGAAACGCCAACCCGGGTGATAGGGGATCACCCGGAAGCCATTCCTCGAGGAGACGACCAAGGGAACGTTCCCGAGCCGACTGAGGAAGATACGGTCGGGCCGGCCGCACCAGCAGCCGAGGAGTTCGAATTCTTGAACAGCGAGAATGTCGAACAGCAGATGAGCCGACTGACGAAAGGAGAAGCGGCCAGGATCGCCGAGAAGCTCGGGGGTCGGGTAGAGTTCGACACAAGCCGGAGGCTCGGGAATATCATCGACCGTCATCGGGGCAAATGGATCGGGATGCACTACCAGCCATTTTACCAAACAGGGCCAATAAGTACTATTTTGCCAGCAAAAGATATGTTTGAAAATCATGAAAATGACTTTTAAAAAAATATTTTCTAAAAATAAGTATTTTTATTTTCAGTGTTTGGTTACATTCTAAAAAACTGTTTTAGTGTGTTTGGTTTATTTTATGAAAAATGAACAAAATTTTATAATTAAACATTTTAATGGTTTTGTTTAGAATATAACACCATTTATAATAATAATAATAATAATAATAATAATAATAATAATAATATTATTATTATTATTATTATTATTATTATTATTATTATTATTATAATAATAATAATAATATTATTATTATTATTATTATTATTATTATTATTGTTGTTGTTGTTGTTGTTGTTGTTGTTGTTATTAATGATGGAGGTAATAGTGGTGGTGGTGGTGGCGACGGTAATAGTAGTGATAGTAGTGGTGGTGGCGGTGACGATGGGGGTAGTGATGGTAATAGTGGTGGTGGTGGTGATAGTGGTGGGCAAAAATTGGAAAACGACATCAAAAAAAAAAAAAACAAAAACAAAACAAAAACAAAAACAAAACAGGGGAAGTCATTTTCCAAGAAAATGAGGGTATTTTCCTTTGACCAAACACTCATTTTCCTTTGACTCACACTTTCCACTCTTTACCATTCAATCTTATATTTTTATCAACAATTTATAATTTGAGTATTAACTGAACTACTCGTATGGACCAAATACTCTCATTTTTTTTATTCTATACTTATGTGACATTGATGGAGGTATTGGAAACGACCCAAAAATGAGGATCCAGTGCTTAGAGTTAGCGACTCGATGCCCAAGAAGGTGACTCGAACCTAAGATAGAAGACCCAACTGATGACCCAATGTGAATGACTCGGACTGATAAATTCGAATGAGGCTAGCTGAACCGGGGAGTTGGACATAGATGCGGGGACCCGAGACCCAAGTCTCGGATGTGAGGACCCGGGGTCCAATTCCTAGGTTCGAGGGCCCAGGCTCCGCGGCCAACCCTGGACAGGCTACCCAAGTCGGGTGGTTGGACTTGGAAGAGGGGACTTGGCCTTCGTAGCCAGCCCCGGGCAACCGCCATTTCGCCTCGGAACCCGCTTATGGGGCCAGAGCGGCTAGATTTGGGCCAACCCTATGGCCCGCCGCATGGGCGTTGACCTAGTCTTGTGATCCACAATGAAATTAGCTAAATTGATTAAGATTTTCTTGTATATATTGACATAGTCTTGACTCGAACGACGTTCATACTACATTCCAGAACAAAAACCCATTTCTCTACCAACAACAAGGGCCGAATATAAGGAAGTTCATGATATTGAACATTATGAGGAGTCATCTGACGATGAAGATCCTTTGGAGCATTCAATTCTACCATCATCTGTCGATGAAGATCCCTTTGAACACTCAGCTCCAACATTATCTAATGATTGCGATCCATTTGAACATTCCATTCCCCCTGAATCATCTTATGAGGAAAACTCACTAGAGCATTCACCACCATTATCTCCATATTCATGGTTGCATGTATGGCACGAGAGGACGCGAGATACGAGCCACATCATGGTGACTTATACCAATACTTCTGAATTTGAGTCATGTCTTATTTGGTTTTAAGGTCTTTCGTTGAGACGAGTTTATGGATGATCCCCTTGACTCTATTTTTATTTACTTTTGAACTTTGGCTTGTTTATTTTTATTTCTATTTTCATTTTATGTTTATGTGCTTTATTTTTCCTAACAGCTAGACATATTTTTCTTTTGGTTTGTAATAACTGGTATATTTCCTATTTCTGTGTTTCTAATTGTCCATATATTTGTTTGTCCATTTTGATCAACAATTACAGGATATGACTCGTAGTATATTCCCATAATTCACACGTGAATATCACTAGGGGAGTTTACTTACTATTTTCCTTTTTATTTTATCAAGCTTTTTCTTTTATAAGCTTTGTAACCCGCATGTCCTTTAACCATATTTCTTCATTCTTTTGAATCCACGTAGTCCCATTTGCATCGAGGATGATGCAACACTTTAAGTGTGGGGGAGGATAATGCAAGGTTATTATGCATAATTTCTGCAAATTTGTCATTAAAAAAAATTTGTTTAATTATTTTTTTCGGAAATTCTTGTATATATTTGTGTCCAATCTTAGCATTTCTGGAATTGTACGTTATCTTTTATATATACATGTGGTTAATTTTGTATAGAATTTCCTTTTTCTTTAAAAACTTTAGGAAATTGGCACCAAACCTAATTGAGAGCGGATGGTTTTGTTGGATCCGGGTCCACCATAAACCGGGTATATAGGTACAGAATGGGGGGGGGGGGGGGGGGCAGGAAAATAGTAACTTTATTACCCAAGGCGCTAGGCCCAAAATAGTACTACAAAGCCTGAGATATTGGCCCAAAACGGCGGCCGAAAGAATTCTTAAATAATAAATACTATAGCCTTAAGGAATGAAATATGGCCCAAAATGGTGGTGCGAATACTAATAAAACAAGCTATAGCACTAATAATAATGAAATAGAAATAACAATATTACTGCACCTTGGTGTGCCAGGGTGAGGAAGGAGACTCAGACAAATGGACCAGAAGGAGTTTGGTGAGCCAATGGAAGCCTTTTAAAGAGAGGGAAGGGTGCCTATTTATATTGTTGAATGACTCACGGATGGTTGACAAGTGGATGACATCAGGCATCTTTCTTTATTGGCCGCACACGTGTCCCCCCACTACTTTGCTTCCAACGCACTCCCATGCATAAGTGAAGTTTTCTGCCATTTTAGTACATACTTGAGTGGCTTATGTTGGCTAGGCCCGTGAGACCACCTGATGCACAGACAGTATGCACCATTGTTTTCTTCTTCACTTGTAAACAACTCAAAGCAACAATACACACCTCCACACCTCAATAAATCAATCATAGATCATCAATAACACACAAATAGTTCATCAACAAACATTATCTAGCATTTATAAACATCTATTTCACATTTCTAACATTTAACAGAGCAAAAACTAGTTTGGGAGCCCATGGTTTATACCTTGAGCTTCTTCTTCTTCTTCTTGTGTGGATCCCTCTTTCCTTTCTAACTCAGTTACTACCTCATTCACCACCTAATCTTCTCAAACAACAAAGATACACACAAAGCTCAAGGGAAAGAACTCAGAGATTGAAGGCAAAGGTGGATAACCTAGGAGAGAAGATGAAATGAATGGATGAGATGAAAGCCAAGAATGCTTACTGTGTTCTTCCTTCTTCTTCTATAGAGACTAGAACTTGGAGTGGAGAGGCCAAAAGAGAGGATCTAATAAAACAATGGAATAGTGAAGGTTAAATAAGGTCCAAAACCCTAGGTTGCAAATGATTGGTTGGAGGGTGAATGAGTAATTTTCCTTGTTCTAAAATAACAGACAATGTTTTGGCTTGTAGAAATATCAAGGTTCACCTTATAACATTGACCAAGGCCTTAAAAATAATTTTAGACAACTTGGGGTCAAAATTAGATTTTCTAAAAAGTAGTTTCTAATTAAAACACTTGGTTTAGGTTTCACAGGTTCCTCTCAGGTTTCACTCAAATTGACTTTGTGCGTCAAAACTTGGTACGTAAATGTACCCAAAACTTAGGATTTTCAAAATAGGATAACTCTCGGTGTTGAATTTTTTTTATAAACTCGATTTAAAATAGAGTTTATTACCGAAATGGTCCCTCGACTATTACGAAATTACCAATTTGGTCCTTGACAATTTTTCTTACTTAATTAAGTCCTCGACTTTGAAAATGTTAACCATTTTGGTCCTCCGTTAAATCAGGGTTAGAAGCCCGTTGAATGAGAGGTTATTAATGGAATTTCCCATGAGAATTTCCGGTGAAGATGTTAATCATTTTGCCTCCCGTCGTCTCCAGAAGACCCATTGCCGGTGAAGAGGGAGTACAACCGCACTGCCCTTTGCAGCCACTGCTCGCGGGAATCGAAAATTGCCGGTGAAGACCCTGACCTCGCCAGAACTCCGCTACATGCCAAGAGGAGTTGCTGAGCCCCGTTGGCTCTTCTATTGCAACACCGGAAACCATCGCCGCTACTGGAGTTCACCAATGTAGCCGCCGGAGCAGAACTCAAGGTCGCCGGATCTTGTTGCTTCGCCGTGAATCTGCTACTAAGCTTGGAGAACAGGGGTTGCCGGTCATCGTTGCACGTCGGAGGAGATCTGTTCGCGTCAGACGTGAGGGAGACGAGGGCTGTAGTGCTTTCTACAAGACTCCCGCTAGATTGTATGCAGGATGTGATAGCGAAGGTATGCCCAAGATTGCGGGGGCTGCAACTGGGGGCCTGGGGCGCCATATCACGAGTCTCTGTTAGGGGAGAAGAGTGAGGGGAAAGGATCTGATTCCGACTTGATTGACAATCTGACGAATCAAGCTCAGAGTCGGATCGGGGCTTCTAGCTACCCGTTTTCCATCGCTCTGCAGAGGCAGTCTAGAGGGAGTAGTTTCGAGGAGAGCTCCATCTCCGAGGAATACTGCATACCGTCGCTATCGAATCCCGATGCATCTTATGGGCAATTGAATGATGGTGTTGGTGGGCTGACGGCGGCGAAAATCTCCTCTGTAGGCGGTGGTGGCTCATCTTCGTCCAAGAGTTGGGCACATCAAACTGAAGAGAGTTATCAGATGTAGCTCGCTCTGGCATTATGGCTTTGAAGTGAGGATGAAGCGAGAATATGTTGTAAAAATAGGGTTAAACAATTAAATAAGATAAAAATGAGTATTATCAAGTGAAATTCCATTAATACCTTCCTATTTAACAGATTTCTAACCCCTGAACTAACGGAGGACTAAAATGGTTAACATTTTCAAAGTTGAGGACTTAATTGGGTAAAAAAAATTGTCGAGGACCAAATTGGTACTTTCACAATAGTCGAGGGACTATTTCGGTAATAAACTCTTTAAAATATTTAATTCATACACCGTTTTTGAAAAATTTTTGGAATAGTGAAAATAAATATTTTGGAATTTTATAAAAATAGAAATTTAAGAAAAATATTTTTGGGTTGTCACAAAACAGGCCAGATATGCCCAATACTTTACAACTTACTAAGGCCCACGAAAGTCTCCTCCAGAAATATAATGTTGGGTTTCTTAGTGTGGACTAGGTCCATCAACACCTGAACTATCGCCGAGTTCCCAAGCCCACGACAATTCCAAGCTAAAATACTCATTGTTCTGAGCGGGCCTGATCCACAAGTCCCGCCCCAAAATCATTTTTTGAGAAGCTGTCTGGTTCAACAACATCAACATAAATTAAGTTGAGCTGCATAGATGGCCCATCAGAGTCCATACGACGACGTTTCTGCTCGAGAATCACTAACCCTTCATTCTCAGCATCATCACGTGATGTTGTCCCACCATCCGTGTCCAAAATCTGTAGTGGTTTGGGCCACGTGGATGCTATGCGGTTTATCCGTAGCCTAAGGCGTGATACGGTCGTACAATGTGCCCGGTATCGTACTCCCATTCTTCCCTGACATCGTACCACGCTATCATTGGCCGTTAGGCTGGTTTGTCCCGGAGTGGATATCTTCGTCAAGAATGAGCCATCGGCGGCCTGTCGCCGGCGGACCTCGGCGACTTGGAGCATGGAGCTATGCTCCATACAACTTCTCCACCATCAAGTTGATGCCCTCAAAGAGTTTTGGGAAAAACTTCTCAGTAAGTTCGATAAGACCGCAGATGAAACAAAGGTATGGAATACGCTCGTATTTGATAGTTATCCATGACTAGTCACCGCCACTTTTCTTGATGCGCATCTGGCCTAACAAAGGTTTTGAAATGTCGATGGTTACACGAATTCGGAGAAAGGATCTCCACCACCCTTCGTAGTTGCTCTTATCAAACTGAACAAATGAGTCAATAAAGTCTCCGATAGATTTTGCCATCTTTTCCGAATAGAAGCTGATAGGCAGATCATGAAGTTGTACCTAGAAATCGGCCTTGTTGAGTTCTATAGCTAGAGGGGGGGATATTTGGTTGCAACTTAGAAAGAATAAGCAGGCTTTGCTCAAAAGACCAAGGGCCATCATCAAGGATACGTTTCAAATCTATCTCATGAAAGAACTGGAAAAGAAAAGTGTTGTTACCAATATCCTTGACAGCCATCCCCTCTGCCCAGTCGCCAACCGCTGCCAGAGTGTCCCTCATGAAAGCAAACTTCACCAACTTATCAGTGATAAGCCTTCCCACAAGCGTAAGACTAAAGTCCATGTTCTGTTCAAAGATCGATTCCCCAAATTCTTCGTCATTGAGTTTCCAGGGCGGCGTAGGCGAACTCCAAATAGTCAGTGGGCTGTGCTGGAATGAGAGGATGTGTTGGAATGGGGTGGGGGTGGTGGGAGATCTGGTCTTGGGCTGGTGGAACCAGAGGCCTCAGCATGGTGGAGAGAATCATTGACGTGAGTAGCCATGGGGAAGGTGCGAGAAGGAAACATGGAAAGCAGAGAAGCACAATGAGAAAGGAAGCTTGTCACAATGAAGAAGAGAAAAGGCTAGCTAGAGAGAAACAAGGTAAGGCTATTAAAAATCACACCAAACAAAATTATCATTTATAAAATAAGTGAAACTGTAATTTAACAAATAAATAATATGGAGTATTTAACTAATAAATTCTTTTTAAAAAAATACTGCAACAAAATTGAAGCTAAAGCTAATTTGTAGGAGTATAACAAAGCAAGCGAGATGAATAATGTTGATAAAGGAAGATCACCGAGATCAAGCACCAAAATAAATGTTACCCATTTAGTATTCAAATTTTTAAATTTTTATGAAATATTTTGAAATTTAAATATTTACATTATTATGAATTATTTTAAAAATTATGACAATTACAAATATTTTGATAAATTCATCATTTTCGTTTAATTTTATCAAGTGTCTTCAATCTATTTATGTATATTTTACAAAATTCATATAAATAAATGAAATGGTTACATCTCAATTTAGAAACTAATCATGCAATATCCAAACTAATGTATGATTTAATTTTTTAAAAGTTAAAAATAATCAACCTTCTTTTATTATAATGATTTAATTATTTTCAAACATTATGAAAGATAAAAAAGAGTTTCGCATATTCTCATTTAAAAAAATTTCACGATATAATTTTTTTTCTTAAATTTAATTTAAAATAATTTAGTTCAAAAAATCAGCTAAAAATGATCGAAGAGACCATCTGAAGGGTCTAGTGGGAACTCTTCATCTGCCTCATTCACATACAAATATGTGACCTTGTCAGTACTTGAGGCCACATATAGGGGTGTCAAAGTGGGCCGAAGCCCGCGGGTTAGTCCGCACCCGCCCCGCGATGGGGCGGGTTAGGGCCGCAAGAAATTAGGCTCGCGAAAATGCGGGCCTAACGGGCATGGCCCGCGGAGTGCCAAAGCTCGCGCGGGCCAATCCATGCGGGTTGCGGGTCAGCCCGCGGGCCATGCCATATTTAAAAATAAATAAATAAAATATATATATATATATATATATATATAATATTTAAAAAAAACATATATACATAAATATATAAATAAATATATATATATATATATATATATATATATATATATATATATATATATATATATATATATATATATATATATATATATATATATATAATATCTTAATTCTTAGGCCGTGTGTAGATCTGACTATCTAAGAGTACGCAGAATGGGAGAAATCCAATAATTCAATAATCCTTCGTCAATTCTTAATTCAATAATTCCTAGAGTACGTAGTTCTTCAGTTCTCCCATCTCCATCCGCCTCCAACTCTACCAAACAATCACTAAAACTAAATCATCAATTCAAACATATTTATGAATTACTAAATCGCCTCCAAGTCCAGCAAACATACATATTTATATATGTATTATACATAGACGGGAACTGTAGAGGGAAAATCTGAAGCCGAGAGAGAAATAGACTGTGTTGTTGAACCTTAGCTTTGATCACCCTTCTACAGTTCTGCTCAACACGCGGTATCGATCCGGGAGATTTGGGCGAGGTTTATGGATTTTATGGAAGTTTCCGGTGCATTGAGGTGTATCATACACCGTGAGGATGCGAAATAATGATCAATAAATAGTGCCATATTTCAAGCGGTTTTAACATGTTTATATACTATTTAATAATTTTTTTTAATTTAAGTGATGGCCCGCGGGCCAGCCCGCAAGACCCGCAAGCTCGCATGGGGCGGGCTTAGGCTGTATAGTTCCAAGCCCGCGGGATTCACGGGCCGGCCCGCAAAAGCCCGCTAAATAAAAAGCCCGCGATGGAGCGGGCCTAATGAGGCGGGCCGGCCCGCATTGACACCTCTAGCCACATATGTAAAAATTTTGCAAGACAAACAAAGAAACTATAAATTGATCATAATTAATAAATACAAAATACAATGACATTGCATGTGTTACGTCATTTAATTTGGTGTAGCATTTTACATATGAACACTTAGCATTTCATAAACATTTTTACCAATTTTAGCTGAAAAAGTGACTAAATATAGTAGTGTTCTGAAAATGGGAAATCAAAGGCCTATTAGTTCACAGTTGGTTAGAACGTTGTGCTAATAACGCGAAGGTCACAGGTTCATCGCACAAAATGCACCACGTGAGCAGGGGACTTTAATATGGTAACTTTGAGTTCAAGTGTTCCAACTTTAGTTTAACTAATATTTTATTCTAAGGAACTTGAAGTACTAAAATAAACACAATGCAGCACCAACACTGAAAATTTTCATTAATAATCTAAAAAAATTACAATTATATTACAATTGAATGGGCATAAAGCATAAATATATAAACATTACAAAATGTCTTCAATTGTGCAGCTCCAACCCTCACTCTTCTTGCTGCTTCTTCGCCTTTCTCAGCTGCCGTGTCAAAAAATTTGTTAATTTGATTCCTTGAGCTCTGGATGTTTCCTTCTATCACCGGATGATCATATGTGAGATTGATTCTAAAACTGTGATAGTTATCGAAAACATCAAGGGTATTTTCACATTTGATGCATAAAATTATCACTCAAGAATACCTGAATATTCTTAATAAGACAATTCTCTCTAAAATATGATACATTTCTACAAATCTAATCAGAGCCAATAATGTTAGACCCTTAATTGGAACAAAAAAAAAATGTTGGTGTAATTGTTTCTTGAAATGAATGGTTCATATTATTTTAATTTTAATATTTTTTTTTTATAATTTTCTTTGTTTATCCTCTATTATATTATTTTCCTCCATTAAATAGCCCTAGATTCCGTTAGTATAAAATTTAGCAACGGAATATTCCATTAACTATTTATTATTCTTAACATACTCATTAGTTTCTATAAAAAAGTTCTTAGGTTCGAACCTCATCCCAAACAGAGTTAGCATAATTGTTAAACATATATTACGAATATGTTAAAATATACGAAATATTAAAAAAATTAATACAATATAAAATTTAACATAAACTTTGGTCAAATAATTAACCCGACTAAATACAAAACATTCAAAATTGAACATCAAATATTATAAATCATGAACTCTGAAAATCATTTTCTTGCATTTTAAAAATATAAATTTAGGTTTAAGATTTTTTTTTTCGTTTAATTAATCTTCTTTTGATTATTTAGAACAAAACTCAATATTTTAATTATGCTTTTGCATTATTGGAATGATTTAGGTCATTATGGTATTAATTTTTTTATATTATTTTTATAAAAGTACAATTGCACATTACTTTGCAAATATTATACTATTATTTTTTATCGGACAAAATTGTTCTTACATCATTGTCAGACCTACGCAACCTAATTATAAAGTTGTTGATCAGAAATACAATTACACTCAGACTCTAAAACGATATGACCATTTTCCAAAGAATTGGCAATGTTACATCCCACTCGCTCAAATTGAATAAGTTTACACATTATTCTTAGAATTTTATCAATGTATGAAAGCTTATAAAAAAAATTTGTAAGTTAATTTTTATTATATCATTATAACAATATCTATTGTAACCATATATTTCAAATTATTTATTATCATCTCCTATTGACATCAATTATAGCAATTATCATTGACAAACTCCCAAAACAATTTGTCTCAACAACAAATGAAAATTGAAAAAAAAAAAATCAATGACTTTAATGTTGTGGATAAAAAGTATGTACGATACTTTATTACTCTTATTAAATTAAATATAAATTGGTAGCTACAACAAAAAAATAACACATATGCATTTAATTAATTTAAAATTAGATGTCTATAATGCTTTTATTCAAAAAAATGTATTCATTATAAAAAATTTAAAAAGAGATATAATTTCATTAGTTATATTATCTTTATTTTCTACCATTCAAAGATTCCTTACCTTCAAATTCATTAATTAATTATTTTTCACTACATTGTCCATTGTATTCTATATTATCTTGTAATTAAATATCGAGTTTTTTCCCATTTTGGTCCCTTGACTATTGCTCATTCTCAATTTTACATTCCGACTTTTAATTGCACCCAATGTGGTCCCTTGACTTTAAAATATTACCCCAATTTGGTCCTCCATTATCTTTTCCATCAACAAGCCGTTAAGTTCAGGGGTATTTTGGTCCATTCATATGCGGCGTACCTATTACAACCGAAGTAATTCAATCGCGTCTTTTGTGAATAACCGCGTCACGACTCCGATTTTGTTGACCACCGCCCCTGGTCGATCGAGGCCTTCCATGGGCAATCGGAGTCCATCGTTGGAGTTAGGGATGCTAGGGATGTTGATCGCCATCGCCATCGCCAATTTGTTGATCGCCCACTTCTTGCGAACTCTCAAGTCGTGATGCAGTCAACGTCAATGGAAAGGTTCTCCCGGCGGTCGCGGCTTTGCATGGTCACTCTGAGGCTGTGGTTGAGCCTAGGGAAGGGTCTGGATCATTGCCTATGGTTCAGACGGTTGATCGGAGGTCATCAGAAATCTCCTCGAGACCTTTGACTCCCCGGCAGTCAGAGGCCTTTGACCAAGGTGTAAGTGGTGGCGTTGGCTTCGTCTGGAGTTCCTCCCACCTGCTTGCTTTTTGATTGTACCATTTTTCCTATTGGCACTTTTGGTTAACCATGAATTCATTGTGATGGAGGTAAGTGTTGTTGACACCTTTGCTCAATATATCTTATTCTTTTTCCTGTTGGGAAGAGCGTGTGACTTGTGAGGCTTGAATCTGCGGATCCAAGCTATTTTGGTATGATAATAGAGGCATGTGTTATTGATACCTCAGGTGCCGAATATATTTAATTTTATCTGCTACTTTTCCTTTTGGTAGGGGTGTGTGACTTGTGGGGCTTGAGTTTATGTTCCAAGCCATTTTGGGACAATGCTAGGGAACCTCATAGTCAGTAGGATGAAAATAAGATTACTGATGGAGATATTTGAAAAGAGACGCTATTTATTCTACCAAGTTCTTCTGTAGAAAAATAATACTCCGTAGTTTTTTTATTTGCTAAGTGCTCTTGATCCTTTTTTTCTTGGATTCGGGTCTTTATTCTTTACTATGTTTGAGATAGGAACAAGCTAGCAGTGGTGGGAGGGTTTAAGTGTCTGGATGAAGCTTAGTTTTGTATATCCTGTTACCATTTGTGGGCAATCATTTGTGTCAGGAATATCATTGATACATGTCCCATTATTACACTGTAGTTTTCTATTGACACTGCCTGAAATCTGACTTCTTCTTTCAGTTACTTTGGACTTTCTCCCTATATCTTGAAGCAATAGCAATTCTACCTCAGTTGATATTACTGCAATGATCGAAGAACATTGACAATTTGACTAGATAATATATATTTTTTCTTGGGTATGACATCAAAAAATATATTTCTTCTTAGGTACCTCAGCAGTCAGCAGATTGGGGTACAATATATTGATGTTCATCTTTCTTCCCCGATCTGCTGACTTCTTTGTCTCTCTCTCTCGTCGAATAAGCGCCCTCCTCTCTTCGTATCTCCCTTCCGATGACGGTGGCGGACAGCGACTTCAAGAGCTCCGGCAAAAATGTGCAGTGAAGAAGCGATGGCAGTGTGCAGAAGCAGCCTGTTCTTTATTCCCTTTCTCTTGGTCAGCAGCAGTTCACCCGGCGAGTAGCTGTTCCGGCAGTGGGTTTGGCTTCCCAGCGTGAACGGAGCTTACGATGGTTGGTTTCTCTCCGCGTCGGACTGTGGTTGGCAACGGCGGTGTCGGCAGCGTGAGTTAGACGGCAGAGGAAGGTGAGCATTCGTAATTGTTGTTGAAATTGTCGAGAATGAATAATGGCAAATGGTTATGTCTGATGGTTATTAAGTGTTATGAGCATGTTAATGATGATGTGAGATGATGAATGACATATGAGAATGCATATTGGCGCAATAGGGACGAATCGGTTGTATGGCGCTAATGAGGGGAATGGACGGAAATACCCCTAAACTTAACGCCTAGTTGATGGAAAAGGTAACGGAGGACCAATTTGGAGTAGTTTTTAAAAGTCAAAGGACCACATTGGGTGCAATTGAAAGTCGGAATGCAAAATTGAGAATGAGCGATAGTCGAGGGACCATTTTGGGAAAAAACTCTTAAATATCAAAGTTATAATACAAAATATGTTATATATTTATTTGCCAAGTATTTTATAGAAATATAATAAATATTAATATTTTATTCAATATTTTCATATGATAATCTATGACACATATCTCATAACACATGAAACATGTAGGAGAAAAACTACCACTACCAAATATCATAGGCGCTTGTAAGATAAGAGTTCATAGTACAACTAAGATCTCAGTCATATACATGCAAGACAAATCTAAAACTTCTTACACCATAATCTCATTGCATGATGATGCCCTCTATGTTACCACCAGTAACCCAATTGCACATGACATACTACCAATAAAAAAAAAGAGGACATGACATGTACTGAAGATAAAGACAACGACAATACTACCAAAAAGAGAATTAAGAAGACTTGGATAAATTTAACCCAAAAGTAGTATTAATTTAGACTTATCGCTTTTAAAATAAATATTTAGACTAACGTTATTACAAAATTGTAAATATTTATTTTAGTGACAATTATAATCATTCTCTCATATATTATATTGTATTTATATACTTTGAATTACCGATTTAAATACACAAATTCAACATTCAATTACATGGGCATGAACATCTCCTATATAATATTGCACTGATATAATTTAAAATACTTATTTAAAAATAATTATTGGGCATTATCCCATACACGCAATGCACAAAAAAAACTAGTTGAATATAATACAGGTCATTTTGAATACGCATTAGTATACATTTTTTTATGTTTCCTTTATAGGTCTAACTTTGTTGGCTCTTTTATATATATATCATAATTGATCCAACTATTTCATTAATTGCACTATATAATATTGGTTGTTATAATTTATATAATTGTATATTGATTTAAATATTTTTAAAATATTATAACAAATTCATTCCGTGCGGCAAAAATACTATTTCAATAAAATAAAATACTCCGTAAAATAAAATAAATTTTCCTTCTACTTATTTTAGTGCATTACTGTTAAATTATCAAAGTGGCAAACCCCCTACATTACCTGTTTCCTGGCTTAAACTTGGGAGAAAGAGGCGAGTGTGAGAAGAGAAGCTGCAAAAATGCCGTTCATATCCAAGATACAAAGACAATCAGATTACAGCTTCTTCCCTTCTAGTTGCCCCATCGTCATCGACAATGGCGCCTCCTATTTCCGGATTGGGTACTCTGTCCAAAACCCTAAATTTTCCCATCTATTTATATATATGTTTTCGGTGCATTTTTATTTGTTTAATGAACGTATGGATGATAAAAAGCTTTGATTTTGGCTTTTTGATTGCATAGATGGGCTGGAGAGAGTGACCCCCGTGTTATCTTCCGGAACATTGTCCAAAGGCCTCGCCATAAAACTACGGGTAATTAGGCTTTGTCGCATTCCTCCTCCTGCTCCTTCTTCTTTTTTACCCAGTTCTAGCTGTACTGTATACATAATTGAGTTCTTGTTTCAAGTATATCTCCACTGCTTTTTTGTTCTCGTTCTTTTCCCGGTTTTTGTCAATCTATTGTTTCTTTGTCTAGATGGTTAAGTCTACTGAACAAATCATTTTTCAGATGATTCTGTTTTTTTTTTTTTTAAAGAAACCCAAGCATTTCCAATTGATTAATGATTAGAAAGATTTTTTTCTAGTAGGATATTTATTTTTCCTTTGACCATTTTCAGAAAAAGTTTAAGCCATAAAATAATAGGTGTGTTTGGTAGTTTAAGTTTAAGAATGCATCTCATTAGGTGTGTTTTCTTGGATAGGTAAAATATATTCTTTCTTTTCCTTCACTTTATTGTGTGTCAAAAATATATTGTGACATTTTTCTTACAGCTTGTTCAAGTCTATTACTCCGTATTTTTTATGTGCAGTTGTAAGTTGACACTTTCAATTAAGTTATCACTTAATCAACAATTAATTTTTTTGCCCCAACTTCAGTTAAGGAAACCAAAGGTCCAATTTCTTGGTTTTTGCAAGGGTCCTGGGTAATGGCAAAACATTGCAGATACAGGTTTCTATTCATATTTACCACCAACCCTTGTACTTTTTCGATTAATCTAGAGATGACTTTGCATGACATTCAAAACAATAGGAACATTGCCTTAAAGATGTTGAGTTCTCAAATGTTTACTGTTAGTCCATGGGTTCAATCCTACTAACAATCTATTTGAAATTAGAGTTAAAGTTGCACGTATCTATCCAGACTTGCATGCCATGGGAGCTTGTAGTTTTAGGAAATCAAAGGAAGATAGCACATAGTTGGAACCAAGGGACCATGCAACCTACCCCAAAAGGGCCAATTGTATAAAAGTTGGAACTTTAGAATTCCTGGAATCTCTTTACCCTATTGATACTGTTCTCCCTTCTGCACACATCCCTGAAACAAGGATCCTAAGAAGCATTTTTTTGGGATTAAATAAAACGCATATAAAAGATGTGTCAATTTTTTAAATTCTGTTTCTTATTGATTTAACCACTGCTTTTACAATTATGCCCTTCCATATTAACGTTGCCTTTTGGGCTTGATAATTTACCTCAAGGTATTTGACTATTAGAGTGCAAAATGAATTGGAAATAGTCACAATTGATTCAGGAATGGACTATGGAAGTTTTATAAGTGAATGGAATGATATGATATGTTCATTTATCACTTTGATAACAGTTTGCTTTATTCTTTATTAATGCAGGTGAAACTGTCACTATTGTTGGTGATCATAATCCTGCACTATTGAAATATTTTGATTGTACGCGATCAGGCCCTCGCTCAGCATTTGATAACAATGTTGTTTATCAGTTTGAGATAATGGAATATGTAAGGAATATCCTATTGGATGTTTACTAATTTCTGTCTGTTTGATTTTTCTTTTTGGTATTATACAAATAAATATTGATTGCCGTGTTTTGTTTTTTCAATGAAAACATACCTAATGAGATGCATTCTTAAACTGAAAAACATGAACCCTTTTATGATGATAAAATATTTATACTCAATGAGATAATAGGGTTGGATTCTTTGACTATTTGATTTATTATTATTTTTTCATTTGCAGATTCTTGACTTCGGGTTTGATCGATTAGGTGCAGACCAGTCGCAGGTACATTTTCATGAACATTCATCATGTATTCATGTTGTTTAATTCTCGCAGGAGAAATTATTAATAATGGATCTGGAGCAATACATAGTTTCATTTGTGCACAAGGCTGACTGATACTCGTTTCTGAATAGGCTTTCAAATAATAAACAAACTGGAGTTTGCCTCATGTTATGTTGTAAGAGTAGTTTGGACTTTGGAGTGTCTATATGCAGGGCTAACTTATACATACACCTTCTTTGGATTAGAAGAAGTTCATCTAATTATTTAGATGTATTTCCAAGTTTTTAATATTCCAGCTTCAGTCTAAGAATCTGCATGTCCTATTCTTATCTGAATTGGGCTTAAACAATTCAATGGTATGTATATGGAATACATATTTAAATGTGAATGAAGAGATATCAGTGGGATGTGCTACTCTAAATTTCTTAGACATAGCCTGAAACCAAAGTGTCACCTAGAAAGATCCTACCGAAAAGTCTAAAGTAACTCATTTTTGTCTCTCCTCCATTCATTTGGAAAATATCACTCTTATGTGCACAACTTTTGCAGTTTGATTTTTACTCATGTCTTTTATAATATATCACCATTCAATTCACTGTTTGAGTACTATGTGTTCAAAGTGTGTGAAACTTGTTCTCAAGTTGTTTCTCGCTTTTGGCTGTAATTTTATTTTATTTTATTTTATTTCTTTTTATATTTAGTTTTTGTATTGGCTGGTACCCCCTTGGTGACTTTAGTGATATCCCTATTAAAAAAAAGAATGAAACTCTCGACACCATTGCTGTTCTACTTTTCTGACAGGACAGATCAACCATCCTGTTTTAATTACCGAGTGTGCTTGCAATCCAGTCCAATCTCGCAGTAAAATGGCAGAGTTGCTTTTCGAGTCCTATGGAGTACCCTCAATAGGTAATGAAGCTATGAACACATATCTTGGGTACAAAGAGTAAGCCCTTTAGATCTAATGTGGTAAAACAAATGCATTGTTTACCATTTCCTTACTTGGCTCATTACATGTGCCATAATAATAGCATTGTGGATCTATGTACTACTTCATTCATTGCTGCTTATATACTTGTTATCCCATAATAGTTAATTTACAATTTTTACTCTTGCAGCATTTGGTGTAGATGCTTCTTTCAGTTATAAATATAATCAAAAGCTTGGGATTTGTGATAAAGATGGGCTTGTAATCTCCTCAGGGTTTAATACAAGCCATGTTATCCCGGTATGCTTTACAGCCTAAAGCTAACTATTGATTGTAATAATAATAATAGAGGTCTTGGTTCCATAAAAAGTATTGCTAGACGTATACAAATGCTTGCAAGATGACAGTTTAATTATACTGAGAACAGTGACTTAAATCAGTGGTTCCTTAAATTTACTGTCTATTAATGAGTAAATTTTTACTTCTTCTTGCTTTTATCACTCTTTGATTTCCTATTAGACATGATTATGTAAGGGCAAGAGATACAAATTCATTTTCTATGTATACCTGGCTGTTGGTAGTGATTAGCTACAAATTATGTTTAAGTACAAAGGATTCAGAGTTTTGTTTAAATGGCAGGGGTTGGTTGAGTCGAGGATGTCTAATTAAACATTTCCTTGCTGTTGTCTGTTGGTAGACTGGTAGTGGTTAGATGTTATGCATATGCTCCTTATGTTGATTGGAGAAAATTATTCTTTACCCTTTAAAAGTTAACATACTAGTGCTAGCTCATCAATGGCCCATTTGATATTAAATGTATGCAATTTGTTTATTTCCCAGATTTGTCTCTGGGCTGATGATCCTTCGCTGTCCAGTTTTTATTGAGGATGAGATGCTGACATGCTTTTTGTATATTTTACAGTTTGTCAATGGAGAACCTCTATATGAAGCATGCTGCCGAACAAACGTTGGTGGATACCATGTCACTAATTATTTAAAACAACTTCTTTCACTTAAATATCCTCATCACATGTAGGTTCTCGAGTTCCTTTTCCTCGATAAATTGTTATAAGAACTGGGATGTTTTATGCTATATTCCTGAGGTGCTTAATCAGGCCTAAGCTTACATGGGAGAAGGTTGAAGACTTGAAGATGGAACACTGTTACATTGCAGCAGATTATGCTTCAGAGGTTCGACTATTTCAGGTAATTAGCAGTTGCCCTTTCTCTAGATTATATCTTTTCGACTCTTGTTTAATGGTTAAAATATTGAACAGAAAGGAAATAAGGAAGCTGAAGAAAAAACTAGGTGTTGGCAGCTTCCTTGGACTCCATCACCGGTCGAGGAGCCCCCATCAGAAGAAGAAATTGCTAGAAAAGCCGCTTTAAAAGAGAAACAAAGTCAAAGGTTGCGAGAGATGGCGGAAGCAAAGAGATGCTCTAGAATAAATGAACTTGAAAATGAAGTAAAAGGTTTTGAACACCTCTTAAGGGAGCTCAACCATGTCGAGGAGGATGATATACCTTCTTTTGTTGCAAGCAGAGGCTATGCCTCTAAACGAGAAATAGAATCTGCGCTTTCAAAAGCAACCCAGTCTCTAAGAAAAGCTAAGGGTGAGCAAGTTCCAAATGATGAAAAAGTTGACTCTTCCTCAGCTGAAAAATATTACCTCATTGACGTTCCTGATGATCAGCTTTCAGCTGAGCAGGTATGAATGGAAGACTCCTTTATTATATTGTGAAATATTTAGCATTTATCTTAAAATGCATAAATGATGAGCATTCACCTTTCTATCGTTCAATGGACCTGCCATCTTCTATAGAAACAACTTTCTATGAATATCTATTGTCATACTTGGGACTTGGCTTGTATCACAATATTTTCTAGATAAAAAGCAAAAAGCGCATTAAAGCTTGAAAGTAAACCTCTTCAAAGTGCAGTATTATTTTCCAGTAGGTTTGATCAACATTATACATTTTTACTTTTCTTGTTTGGTTCAAAAGTTTATTTAATTTGGGGCATGGATTTAATATTTTTCACAGCTCAGGGAGAAAAGGAAACAGGTCTTTATGAAGGCAACCACTGAGGCCCGGGAACGAGCTAAACAGAAGCGTATGGAAGAGGAATTAGAAAGAGAAAGGGAGAAGAAACTAGAGGAAGAAAAGCGCTTGTATGCATCCCTGAATTTTAATTACTTCCTCCATCCCAATTTTAATTAATGAGGCTAGTATATAAAATTTATATATTTAGAAACTATTAAAAGTATTATTTAACGCAAAAAGTCAAATTTAAAAATTATAGAAAATACTAAAGAAAATAAGTAGATATGACAGGTAAAATGGGACAAAAGGAGTAATAATCTATATTTAAATTCTTGACCTGGTTTCTTGAATCTATGTTAATTAATTTCCTTTATGTCTATTCATGTAGAGAAAACCCAGAGCGTTATTTGGAGCAGTTGCGTACAAAATACAATGAGCTTTCGGCGAAAATTGAGCAACGAAAACGGCAGAAGATCAATGGTGATAATGCAAATGGAAATCATAATGTCTCTGGAGGTGTTGGCCGGGGTGAGAGATTGAGTGCACAGCAAAGGGAGAGGATGCGCCTACTAACAACAGCGGCATTTGATCGAGGGAAGGGTGAAGATACTTTTGGTCAGAAAGATGAAGATTGGCAACTCTACAAGCTAATGAGCCGAGATAATGATGACGATGATGATGAGAAGCCAGATCCAGAAGAATCAGAGTTGGCTCGCATCTCTTCTAGACTTCAAGTTAGTAGAATCCTCAATCCCAATTCTTTATACTGCTGCTTATATAGATTTTGTGCATAGTCCAAGTCACTCGAGTTATAAATCTCTCATTGAAATGTTCATGCAGGAGATAGACCCAAAATTTTTCCCAAAGTCGGAATCAGGGTCCTCCGTATCAGAGGCACCCCGTTTTCGTCCTCTCACAAAGGAGGATTTCCAGATTATTCTTGGAGTAGAAAGATTTCGGTGCCCTGAAGTTCTATTTAGCCCAAACGTAATTGGGATTGACCAGGCCGGGTTGGATGAAATGGTTGGTGTGTGCTTAAGGAGGATGTCATCTAGGGGCCAAGCCTTGGAGGAGAGAATGACGAATTCAATCCTTATGACCGGTGGGAGCTGTCTCTACCCGGGCATGGCTGAGCGCTTGGAAGCTGGAATTCGAATGATAAGGCCATGTGGAACGCCTATACGAGTTCTCAGAGCATCAGATCCAATTCTCGATGCTTGGCGAGGTGCTGCTTCTTATGCTGCTAGTATGCATTTTCCACATCAGACATTCAGTAGGATGGACTACTATGAAAAGGGTGAAGATTGGCTTCCCAGATACCAATTCAGATACACACTCTAATTTTCCTTAGGAGTGATAGGTTCTAAGCAAAGTACTAACACTCCATGCCTTTTTCTCTAAATTGGGTTTTCACCATTTCCCAGTAAGTGTTAGGCATATCTTTTAGGGGCAGTTTGGTTCGCAGAATGTCTGATTACTCATACTTCTCATGTGCAACCGTACGTTCACATCGAGTATGTACAAGTTTCAATTGAAGCTTTTTGGTCTAATTCTTGATCCCGGATCCCTTTAGTTTCTATGTATCACCTTGTGGATGGAAAGTAACGCACTTCCCCTTCTATGTTTCTATGTATTTCAGCTACACGTACAAAATATCTTCGGTAAAGGATGGACTTCTACATACACTTACAATACTTCTCTCATTATTGTTGGAACCTCAAAATCAATATTCTGATAATACCAAATGGGTTTAATATATTTGGGTTCCTTTAGAATTCAAGCACCAGTGCTTTTACTTCTCACACTCAAACCAATTCTATTACGATCATGTGATATGTTACGTTACGTCCTTTTCCTAGACCCTACCTGTCCATCATTAATCATACCAATAGTGTTATAGAGTCTCTTGATTTTGACTTTATTTTTTTCTTTTTATTTATGTGACATATTTTTATTCATTATTTAAAGAAAAGAGTAGTTTCAATAGTTCAAATTCATGATATAATTTGTGATCAAATTAAATTGGAGGGAAGGCCTTGTGGATGGAAAGAAGTGCAGTTGCCCTATATTTATGTGCATTTCAAATACATAAAGTGTATGCAAAGGATGTGGAATTCTGCATACACCTCCAACACTAGTCCCACCATTACTGCCACCTATGACCTACCTCAAAATCAACTCTGATCTTGTGATTAACTAGAAGAGGTCAATAACAACAGAAAAATCACACTCAATCAAAAGATACATTAAAAAATAATATCTGCATGATCAATAAATTAACAACATTCTTACCAAACTTTTTTTTTTTTTTTTCCAAAAAATTATATTTACAACTCCACCGCACCAGAGATCATTCATGTTTCTTGCTTGCCACTTTTGAAACCCCGCAGCACACTACTAGGTAAATCTCGAGTAGGCAGTAATTTACGACGTTTCAGCCTATGTGATGATCGATTTTGGTTCATCTTGCTGAAACCCCGCGAATGGAAACAAACGCACTTCCTCATCTTTGCTTTTGTATATGTCAAATAGACTAAGTATCTCCGAGCTGTAGGATTGAGTTCTGCATACATGCATCTCTAATACTTCTCCCATTATTCTTGGGACCTCAAAAGTGAATTCTTATAAACTCACTTAACCTCAATCCACTGCAATTTGCATCCACTCTCAGTCTCTCACCATCTTCTTATTCTTCTTAATTGTTGATTCTTCCTGTATTCACTCTCAGTCTCTCACCATCTTCTTATTCTTCTTAATTGTTGATTCTTCCTGTATTCACAACATTGCTAAATTAAACCATTTGTACCTTCCAATTTCATAACATTAAGCTATACTAGCTAGCTACACATCATAACTCAATAAAAATACTTGAGGGAAAATGTAACTCGCAAATGCAACATGTTCTGTGTCTTCTCCTACTCCAACAATCCTGCTCTTATACACTTGTTGTGCATACTATACGTACGCCTCCAATCTAGGGGTGTAAATGAGCCGAGCCGCTCGCGAGTCACTTGTAAGCAGCTCGGTCAAAATTGAGCTCGAGCCGAACTCGAGCGGCTCGTTTACTTATGGAGCTCGAGCCGAGCTCACATATTCTATGCTCGTGGCTCGACGAGCCTTATGATAATAATAATAATAATAATAATAATAATAATAATAATAATAATAATAATATTATTATTATTATTATTATTATTATTACTACTACTAAAAATTAAAATTTTACTCCCTTCTAAGGCTTACCCTACTCTAATACTCGTGCAGTCCCGCAGTCCTGCACTCCCTCACCCATTTCCCCCAAGCCCTAACTCTGGAGTTTGGAAGACTGTCGACGACACGACGACACGGAGACAAGATACGGAGATGCAGGAAGACTACCGGCCGACGACGACGACCCTTGTCTCCGGTCTCCACCTTTGCTGATGACGAATTGACGAAGTTGTTGTAGTGATGTCCGATAGTCGATTAGTTGAGATCGGACGAAACTGCTGCCGATGAACGGACGAAGCTATGTGGATACCCATCGAACCAGAACTTGAGCTAGAGCTCGAGCTGTTCGAAAATTATCGAGCTCGAGCATCAATTGTTGAGCTCGATTGAACTCAAGCCAAGCATTCTTTAACGAGCTCGAGTTCGAGCCAACTCAGGCTCGAGCTCGGCTCGACTCGTTTACACCCCTACTCCAATCATTGTTGAGACCTCAAAATCAATTCTCTTACCCTGTACAGAGGGGATTCACCTTGCTTTGTTCCTTGACTTTTAGCACACTGGATGACTCATGTACTTCTTATCTGCGACTCTTCATATCCGTACAGGTCTGACTTGAGGCTTTTTGGCACAATTCTTGATCTCAGATCCCTTTTGTTTCCACCATCCAATTGACTGAATCTCCATCCAAATGGTATGAAAACCACTCATATATAATTGCTTTGATCAATTTAAATTGTACCTTTCCACACAAACATAGCAAATAAAAGCTCTTTTAAACATAAAAACAAGGTTAAATATGAGATAAAATAAGATCAAATATGAACTTTAAGTAATCTTTTTAATCATTCAGTGGCACTTTAATAAAAAAAAAATAAAAATAATATATATATATATATATATATATATATATATATATATAGGGGAGACTTTAAGTAAGAACCCTTTCTTAGGTAGGAACATAAGAACTAATCCAATTCATTCATAATCTCTCAATCAATGGTCAAGATAATTAGACATCTTAAAGAGCATCTTTACCATAATTAATTAGAAAGGACATTAGTGTAATTCTGTCCACTTACCAATTAAAATCAAATATTATATTTAAATTCTTCCCAAGATTTTAGGAAGACAAAATAAGGGAGGAGTCCAGTTGATTGGTGAATTTACATTCTACGACCGCAGCACCCTCGGACGATCGCTAAGCATCAAATTTCAGAGAGAGAGACGGTGACCAAAGATTAGCAGCGACTTCTGCTCAAGGATGGCCAAGTGACAATGAAGGTAACATAAATATTTATTCCCAAAAACCTGTGCGTAATGGTGTGTGAGATTAAATTGAATTGAGCCATTCATACTCCTGTGTGCAACCCAACAATTGATTGAAAAGTATTGTTGTGTTGTGTGGCTACTTTAGATTGGTAGGGAATGTTGAACAATAGTAGGTTGAACCACCATGTTATGATTCTGTCAATTTTGCAAACTAGGCAGTCGATCTGGCACACACAAATTAGCACAAGTGCACCATTGGCTGTAACATCAATTCGATTTCCATGAATTCATTGGTTCAGTATTTTTGCACAGTATAGCACATACAATACAACCCATGTGCACACCAAATTATTTACCGGCTTGCCTTACATACACTAATTCTGCAAAGTATGGCATACACAGTGTAACCAGCATTCTGTGCACATGTGGTGAATTGTGAGTGCCATTATGTGCAATACTACTGATTCAATGAAACCCACGACTATTTGGTTGCACTGTGTGCACATATGGTAAGAGGTATGTGCCACACAGGAAATAGAACTCCTGAGTGCGTGCACATATGAAAAATTGATTGTGCCATATAGTTAAGACGGAATCAAACTTTATAATGAAATTATCGAGTGTGGTGTGCTATTTGGTTGCACTCTGTGCACATATGGTAAGAGGTATGTGCCACACAGGATATAAAACACGTGAGTGCATGCACATATGAAAAATTGTTTGTGCTATACAGTTAAGACAAATTCTGACTTTATAATGATTTGATTGCTTCACAGATCTTGACGGCTCATCAAGGAGTTCATCCGGTTGTGTAATGAATATTTTACCAGGAGCAATGAAGTACTGGACCCAAGAGTGTGAAGAGTCAATAAGGACACCATCATAGCCGAAACTATTTGTTACGCCTGAAACCGTCTTGAGGCTTAGTCGTTGAAATATTTCTAGAATTATACCTTCGAATACCGCTGCCCTAAAGTTATTTGCACGGTCTTTATTATTCTGTTTGTAAATGAATAAACGTAGGACAACTTGATTTAATAGGTTAATGTGTGTATTTGGGATGAATTGTGAGTGATATAATGTTGCAGAAAGTGCATTTAAAAAGACATAGTACTAGTCGTTGTGCACCTGGGTTTAACACTGTGTGCCAAAATGTGCAATGCTACTAACAAAATGTGATCTCAGAAACTAGAAACTAGGATCATGTGTTGTACAATGGTGTGCACTTGTGTTACACCGTGCGTGCCATACTTTGCGGAATTTGTTTCTAAACTAAGAGATGTTGTATAAGTTGGCGCGCACGTGAGATACACAATGTGTGCCATAATGTGTATAATTAGTCTGTCCATGAACAGATGTGCACTTAGGTTTCCATGTCCGTGCCAGTCGTGCAAAAACGCTAATAGTTTGAATCCACAGAAACCAAGACGATGATATACACATCCATGTGCACTTGCATAAACAGTCTGCGCCAAAACCTTACATAACGAGTGTGCACCTGGGGTAAACAGTGTGTGCCAAATTGTGTAGTGACACTAAGTGAATGAAATCCCATAAACCAGGTGGATGTGTTGTACAAAGATGTGACATCGGGTTACACCGTGTGTGCTATACTGTGCATAATTAATTGGTGAACGAAAATACATATGTCATTCCGTGCGGAATCAGTTTGTGCCCGAAAATGCGTAAAAAAAAAGTTGGTGTGCATGTCGGTTACACCGTGTGTGCCATAATGGGCACAATTAGTGTGTTGACGAACATGCGTGGACTTATGCGAAACTCAATTCTATGTGTAGTTGGGTTGGACTTTGTGCATTTGGATTGATATATTAGGATGTGCAATTTGGTTGAACTGTGTCCACTTGGGTTACATTGTGTGTGCCATGATTGATGCACGGACTAAAATTGGTGTGCACGGGGTTATTACATGTGAGCCATAATGTGTAGAATTAGTGTGCCCATGATGAGGGTGCACTTAGGTTGGTCTGTGTGTGCCATGACGTTCTAAAAATGCTTATAGTTTGAATCCACGGAAACCACGATGAAGTTATACACATCCGTGTGCACTTACATAAAATTGTCTGTGCCATAACGTCCATAATGAGTGTGTGCTTGAGAAGACGAAACTCAAGTAGGTGTGCACCTGGTTTAGATTGTATGTGCAAAAATTTGTAGTGGTACTGACATAAAGAAAACTAAAAACCAGGATGATATGTTGTACAATGATGTGCACTTTGGTTACACTGTGTGTGCCATGCTGTGCACAATTAGTATGCACGTGGGTAACACCATGTGTGTCATAACGAGTAGTATTAATATGTCTTGATTCCATTGTGTACTTTCAAAAAAAGAAAAAAAGACTAGATAAAACATAAAACTCCCTTGAATTAAATCTCAATCATCATAACACATGAAACATAAAAGTACCTACATGAACTTAACAACATCACTAATCAACTAGTTGAAATGAGCACATGTCCTTGTTAATACGCCACAATCCACCTTGTTATGTGCATCACGCCAACACATCTGCATCGTCATTCTAGGAATAAACTTCTGTACGATCGCCCCACACCGTTCATCAACCACATCATCAAGGACCGCAAATATCAACTCTTTCTGGCAAAGGGGATAAATTGATAGAAAAATAAAAAATGCCAAAACAACATACCAAACACCTAAACCAATACACGGAACAATATAATAAAACCAATACACTAACTATGATCCATACCCACATCGGTAACAGTCACTACCACCACAAACAATATACACCATCTACCCTGCCGCCAACCACGAACAAAACCAAAGGCCCTATACAATTACCCACCTACAACCCGAATACACGACCCCCAACATCAGACAACAACAACAAAGAAAACACACTAATAAATAAGACAAGCATTTTTCAGTTGAATGTATTCTCAAATGCAGCTCAATATGAACAAAAGAATATAAGCTAATTTTATTTTTATATACAATTTAAATCAATTACTTATACATATATGACCACCACTGTTACATTAAATAAACATTACATTAAATAAACAAAAGAAATGGGAAGAAATCATATTCATAAAGAGAATTTTACTATTTTAAGTTCAAATTAATAATGTCCAGGTACATATATAAGAAAAATGCCATGGATTTCAAATATGAACAAAGATGCCTATAAAAGATAACGCAGAGAAGTGAAGAAAGAGCCGAAAAGGCAAACCTTATCTTTTTTTATACAAACTGGCAGAAACAAAATGTTAGTGGTGTTATTGTGTTAGTATGGCTTCCTCTTTTAGCTATTTTATGCATCCCCTGTACAGTAATAGTACTTATATATTGATGAGCCTTTGGGACTACGATAATCCCAAAACTCAAACCCCATCAAGTGATTGGCGGCCTAGGCCATTTTGGGGGCGATAGAGATAAAGCTGGCGGGAGTTCATTACAGCAACAGTTCATTGTCTGTTTGCAGTTGTTTGAGCCGCCTATAAACCGGAGACTGTGTAGACGACAACAACAAAAAAATAAAAATAAAAGAACACAAGAAATAACTAAAACAACCAAGAATTGAAAAGCAAGCAAAAAAAACACCATAGCAATGTCGACGACTAGAACACCAAACCCTACACAACTACACACCCAACCACCAGAATCAGCGAGAACAAAAAAAAAAAAAAAAAAAAAAACCAGCAAATCGCAAACCCATTGCAAAAAAACTCAAAGGAAAAACAAATTAAAAAAACTGACCACGAACGCACGACCTCGTTGCCGGATGGAAATGCTTAGGATTCCTACCATCAACGCCGACCATCAACCTGAGAACAAACGCAGTGAAAAGGGAGAGAGATCACCGGAATATGGCCTGCGGTAGTCAATAAAGTGAAGGAGTCCTGAATTCGAAACTTTCGTCTGACTTAGACTTAGAGGAGAATGCGACTATTACGCACGCACACCATACACATTGCTTTAAAAAACCTAAACTACCCTTAATTGCCTTTAATATAATCTCAGTTACGGAAAATAACATATTAAACAAATAAAAATATAAACCATTGATTAATGAAGATAGAAGGCTAAGATTAGTTCCTATATGATTGTTATTCTATAAATATATATATATATATATATATATATATATATATATATATATATACACCCTTAACTCATTTTACATGTTAATCTAAACAGCTAATTTTTTCAAATATCTTTTTACCAACCGTTGATATAATTCGCTGGTCAAATTCGTTGAATAATCCGC